CTCACTTAAGTGGCAGTGACACTGTTTAATTACGATGAGCAAAAAAGGACGGTGATTTCTTATTGTTTTTTTTCTTTTTTTAATAATCTTTTTTATTGAAAAAAGCGATAATATACTAAACTCACACACATTACACAGATTCTATAACTCGAATCCAAAACCTGGGGAGCTTGTGGTGAATTGCAAAAAAAAAAAAAAAAAAAAAAAAAAAAAAAAAAAAACAAATCAATCACTTAGTGATAGTGGCACCGTCTAATTAAAAATGTTTATTTTATTTTATTTTATAATTTTATATATTTTTATTGTCTCCATGTGAACATGATTTGGTCGACAGGTAAAGTCGTTACCAGTTAGGAGGTAAAAGGGGAGGTGGTCTCAACTTTATAAGACCATTCTTCAAAGTTAATCAACTGCAATTACTATAATACCCCTAAAATGCGGCTGCATAGGTACCCCCCCTTCTCCATTAACAATTCAACATGCATGCTTCAAACCAGGATGCTATACAGAATCTATGGATTTGGTTTTTATTTTGCTTGGAGTGAACTAAGAAATAGAGTGGGTCTTAAGGTTTCAAAGGTTCAACTTTAAGGCAAACTCCCAAAAAGGGAACTTTTTTTACGCGGTTTTTCTTGGGTGCTTCACTGCATGATAATGTATGTCCTAGAAGTGGCATACTAGATTCAAATGTTTGTGTTTTGAGTGGTAGTGTGCGCGGTTGAAGTGGTAATGTACAAGTCTTAAAACCTAAATTACTATTCTGAGAGAGCAATGTACTGGTTAGACGATGTGAAAATGTGTTTCCACTAAGTGCAATACTTCACTAAAAAGTTTTATTTATTTATTATTTTAAGTGTTTGCGCTTGTATTTTTGTTACACCACAGATTCATGGTAGAGTAAAATTCCGAATTCGGTGTGTGATAATAAAGTACAACAAAAGTCTATAAGAACTTTGATTATTTAATATTTTGTGGTTTATTTACTTTATTATCACGTACCGAATTCAAAATTTTACCCAAGTCCAAAGTGTGACCGTTTACCATACACATGTTTTGTTTATTTACTTTGTTAAGAGTTAAAACTCCAATGACAATTATATAACATGAAGCTCAACCATTGCAATCGCCATTGGCCAAGTTCCAACAAACATCACATGTCCATATGAATGAACTTCATCATCTGGTTTCACTCACAACTCTAGCAGCTAACACTCATTAAATAAGTCACTTATGAGTCATCCTCGACAAATCCCATTACTCAAAACAACATTTGCTTCATTAAACAAAGTACCAAAAGTATTCATGCAAAAGCACCACCCAACCTTGACCTATCTGTATTTTTGTTGCCCAACCACAGCTTAATCATTCTAAATCCACTCGAAGTCAAACTTACATTTTGATTAAAATCTCAACATTAGCTACTCATATTTGACAACTCAGTTAACCTGTTCAAACCACCACCCCTTATATATACATATTCTAATCACACACACACACACACAAACTAATGCAAGTATTGTCTCACCGTCACATTCACATGAAAACAAGTAGATGGGGTTAGGATTTGAACTTTAACAAGTAAAGAAATAAATTATTAATGTGTTTGATAAATAAAGGAGTGAGTGAGATTGTAGTTTATACATAGACGCAAAAGATAAGCAAGACACCTGACAAAATATGCTTGAGTGACCCCATTTGCAAGGACGTGTGAAAACGAGTCAAGCATTTTGTCACTTTATATATAGTACAATCTAGTTCAAACAAAAATAATTCAAATTATTACCCATTTGAAGGCTTCAAGCCATCTATACTATTATTATAAATTACTTGATAATACAGTTCATTTCTATTGAAGATGATCTTTGAATGAATATCTACAAAATAGACGGTTTCAATTAGTGAAATACAATTTATGTATATCAGCTATTCTCTCATTCGGATGTCCGCACGTTATTACCATGCTGATGTCATTACAAACAGAAAGGAAAGTAGGAAGATGTAGTAAAAAATACATAACGTATGAACATGAATAACATTCGGATCCGCATCGGATAATTTATATATATATATATCTAAGGTGTCATAATTTTCCATTCTTAAAAAAATTAGAAAAGGTACACGATAACTATTTTGTACCAATAACGACATTCCGATAATCAGTAATGTTTAATCTACTTGCATCGATTGGATAGATCTTTGCGAGTGTTAACAACATAAATCTTAATACCAATATAAAATAAAGGGTCAACTAGTGAAGGTGCCCAAACCATAAATATAATCACTCACTTACACACCGTGTAAGCAAACTAGATACATTGCATCAAAGAGAATCGAATATTTTTTAAATCAGCAGCTTTTGTCCTGAACCAAAACATTTAAAATCTAGCAGCTTTGTCTTCTTCCTGGCTAAAAGAGAACCGTAAACATTTAAGTACAACAATTAATTAAAATAAACCCAGCAATTAGAATAACATTTCTGACTGCCTAGTTGTATGGTACATGCATGCTGCTTTGTTAATCTTAAATGGATTAAGGAATAATGACATAATTAATATTTAATCAGGTGGGTGACTGGGAATTGAAGTTGCATGGTGGTTTTGTGCTACAAATTTAGGGTGATGTTGTTGTTTTGGATATAAAATTGTGAAAGAGTGCCGAAACCGCTTGTCGGGCATAAAGAAAGAAGTATTCTGGTCTTACAATGGAATTCCTGAGGAGATCATCCATGTGCATTGTGCCCGTGTCTATGTCAGAAAGATGTTTATCAGGTTGGTTTTGTTCTTAAGTTCAACATTAATAATATTTCATTAATTTTTTTGGTTTTGTTTGGAGTTTTGGACCTTGCAGCCAAGGATTCTGCTATATGTGTCTGGATCTGCAGCATGTCCAAATGGTAAAATAACCACTTAAGACCACAACAATAACATGTGACAAGAGTTTTATTAGCATAAGTTGTTCAGCACATTCTTATGTGTAATTTGTTATCATATATGATTCTCATAATAGGTTATACATCGATGACTCACAATTACTTACTGCATGGGTTTACAATTTCAAATATTATCTTGATTTTAGATATAGCAAGAAACGAAATGTAACTTTCAACATCTAAAAACTTAAGATCGTCCATGTATGTGTGAACAATTTATGTTTAAAAGTCAGCGAATTTGTCTACATTGACAATTAAGTCAATGAAGAATTGAATAAATAAAGTTCAATAGTTCATAACTATTCTATCACTTGTATATTCCATGTTCATATTGGCAATGGGGAACCAAAACTTTAAAACTATAGGGTTTCGGCCCTCAAATCAATATGAAGTATGGGAAAAGTTACAATGTAGAATTGGACTAAGAAGCATACTAAGTCAACCGTTATATATACTGTTGATATCAGTTTCCTCGGGCAGTTCACAGGGCAATCTAGTACAACCCTAGCAAGATAATCTAAGAAATTGGGTCCATCCTTCATAATAAAATAATCACCTAAACTAAAATCCAATATTTTTTTTAAAAAACAAGTACATGTATTTTGTTTCATCTGAATTAATTAATAGGAATCTGGTATTTTGTAAAGCATAATTAATTTTCCACGGTGGAAAATAATTTTCGATCAATGGAAGATTTTCTCTTATTTTATTCTTGTTAATTATTTTCTTCACTTCTTGTCCTTACCATTACCAATAAATTTTTAGACTGTTTATGGTAAATAAAACCTTCCATATTATAGAATTAAAATTAGGTGCACAACTTCATACGGCATGATGGTGTCATGGTGATGGCATTATACATTGTACTCACAAAAGAACATAGAGAGATATATAAGGACAAAAAATAATATTACAATTAGAAACCACAAAAAGATTTTAGTTTTCGAATTAGTTTCCCAACTTTTGAATTGCAAATTACAATGTAAAGATACTGCAAATCACAATTTCATGTTACAAACTCATATGACATACGGACACATATTTGATTCTTTGATTTAGATGGATTCAGTTTTCCATACGAGTTCTTACCACATGAAAACATGTATGTAAAAGATATGTGCACACACATATACACCATTGTTAACTCATAAACACTGAAGCAACAACTTATTAGACAAGGAAATGATTTTATTTGAAGCTTGTAAAAGTAGGATTAGCCCTAAAATTAGGGCCCGGGAAATAAATAACTTTTAAAATATGGATATACATATATATATTTTTTTTTTCCATTTAAAATTTTCTGCTGATTACCTTTTTAGGATGTGGTAAAAAATTAATTGAAAACTGATAATAAATAGGTAAAATCTGAACGGTGATTGGACAATGTCCAAAGCTGTCCTACCCTAAAATAAAGGTAAATCTTACCACGTTGATCACTGGTGAGTCGCTTTTGTGATCCAATAATGGAGGGCAGACCACACTTCATGATCCGCCACTATACCATAACACCCTCTCTCCTAGACAACGTGAGCCGGCGGAGGGAAATTTTGTTTAAAAAAAGGGGTATTTATGGAAAGTTACCATATAGACAGAATGCAAAACCGCGTAAAAACCTCAACATAGTATAAGGCAACATCCAGCTTCCATAAAACCTCTGAGAAAAGAAAGCCGTTTTGGATTTTCTTTTAGTAAGAAAATGTTTTGTTTTGGGTAAGAGACAAAGGTCCTGAAAGAGTGGGAAAATTTTGAAGAAAAATTCAATATTACACGGAGAGAGAGAGAGAGCGAGAGAGAGAGAGATTATAAATTGGAATAGAATCTCCACACAAAAAAAGAAAATTTTAATTTCCATAAATTTTTTTTCTTTGATGTGGACTGGGCTTTATGGATCCTTGTGAGAAAGCCATCTCTCTGTCTTGTCTCATATGCTTCATTGTTCTTCTATAAATGAGTCACATTCCACCTTACTTTAATTCCTAATTCTCTTATTTTCTTTTCTGCTCTTTTCTTCTCTCTTTCTCTTCTTTTCTTTTCTGCCTTCTATCCCACCAGAGCGGGTGAAATTCAGACTATGGAGGACTTGGGTTCTCTGTGGACTACTTATCATGAGGTGGGTTACTCCTCATTTCTTCTTCTGTGTGACATTTCTGTTCATCTTTTTCCTTCTGGGCTCTCCCCTTGTTTTGCAATTCATTCAAAGTTCGTTGCTTTTCTACTTCAATCATGTGTTTTATGATGGTTTCAAGTTTCAACTGCAGTTTCTCACATTACTTTCTTTCATTGCTCTTTCAATTCATGTTCTCAGTTGTTTTATGTGAGTTTAATTGTTAGTGATGGATCTTCCATGTCTGGCCAAATCCACCCTCCTTAAATTTGTTATATTTCATCTATATAATCTTACACAAAAGAAAGAAGCAGTCATTTACTCTCTGCCTAAAGTTTTCAATTTCCACCATTTATGGTCTCTATTAATTTTCAAATTTTATACTTACCAAGATCACAGTTGTAATGATTTCTTGTTTACTAGTTTTTCAGCAAGCATTTACAAGCCCTGCAGTCTCATTAGAAGTCAAGGGTCTTGTAATTTTGACCCAAAAAAATAAAAATAAAGTCAAGGATCTTGTAAATGTAAATTTTGTGTTTAAGAAGTGCCTTAGGCAGATTCATTTGTCAATTAATCGGCCATCAATTTTTTATAATACATTTTATGGAAAAATGTGTACCTTTTCTGTTATATATGTTATGAACAGAATATCTTTGAGTAAGAATGTGTAGGTAAATTGGTATTGATGGAAGCTTGTGATATTTCATGACCATAATGAATTTATAGGGCCCAGCGCCCATTTCTGTAATAGGGGGTAGGTTTTAATGGAGACTGTTTGTATCTTACCCTCTTTTTGCCCCCCTCTTAAAAAAGAAATGCATGATTTGCTGACCAGGACGTGGGATTTGCATGGGCCCTTGTGGGGTTTTCACTGTTCTTCCTAACTTTGAAATAGTGGTTGTTTGGAACTTGCTTTTGTGCCTGTGTTGAGAACTTTTGGTTTGTCAAAAGTTTGGTGTTCATGTCAAGTTTGAAACTATGGTCTTGATGTTGATTTTGCCTTTTTTATTTATTTTAATTTTTCATGATTTAGGAATTTTATTCATGAAGAGATTGCATGTTGTAAAAAACTTTGGTTTCAGATTCTATTATGTTTTTGGTCTGTGATTTTATCTTTCATGGAATTGAAACTAATTTCTTAAACCTGTTTTGAATTGACAGAGCACTGATGAGTTGAAGCAGAAGCTTCTGTACACAACCCTTGAGCTGGAATCAGTAAAAACTTTAGCAACTGATGAAATCAGAAAGAGTGAGGAGAATGTGAACAATTTGCTCAATCTTTTGAAGGTTGCATACAAAGAAAGAGACGATGCCAGAGCTCAGCTTCACAAGCTCCTAAACAAGATCATGCCTTCAAGTCCAATTGAAGCACCCATTAATATGTTTCCACATGTCCAGCCTGAAAGCTCACTTTTAATTCCCACCAAAGCAAACTCCAGCATAACTGAATCTAACAGCCTCTCTGAAACATACAACCACCAATCCCATGGCTCTTCCCCTGTGGAATCTTTATTTGATGCAGTTTCTTCACCAGAGTTCTCAAACATCAACATGGCAGACTCTGGTAACATTGCTTTTGTGAAGCAGCAGCAGCAGCAGCAGCAGCCTTTGGTGCAAGAATTTAATGCCTCTATGTCTTCTGGCATGACCAAAACTGATCCTGCTTCGGCAGTGATTGACAATTTTGTCAAAGGGAAGACTCTGCCTCAAAAAGGGAAGCTCTTGCAGGCTGTGATGGAAGCCGGCCCACTGCTTCAGACACTTCTTGTCGCCGGGCCTCTTCCTCGCTGGCGAAATCCTCCTCCTTTGCAGTCGTTCAAAATCCCACCTGTTTCTATCAAAGGCTGTGAAGCTGCAAGTTTTAACCAGAAACCAGTGGCTAATCCTAGTTATGCGGTTCATAATAAGCCACTGAGTTTTGCATCATATCCTGAGATGTCTCGTGGGTTTTCGCAAACATGTTCAGCTTCCATGTTGAATTTCAACAATGGTGCCTCTGGATCATGCCTGAACAATGTAAGGCTGCTCACTTCAAATTCCAGTATTGACCACCAAATCCCAATTGGCAAGCGGCAGAGGCTTCAATGAGATTTTGATGTACTTTGCTTCTTTATTTTTTGTAAAAATCAAAGTTTGAGCGGTTGAGGGTGTAAATGGGATACTTTTGTTTTTTGGGTTTTGAACTTTAAATGACATAGCCATTTAACTTCAGTTTGCCCTTTGTCTCTCTTGTACATCAAGATGCTTCTTCGGTTTGTTAGTTTCATTCACAAAGGGAAAAATAATAAGCAAAGAGCAATATAATTTTTTAGCACCAAATCCAATTATAAAATTCTGGTTCCCAATAGATGTGGCCGTGTTTCATTTATTTTTCTTTTTCTTTTTCGTGTAGAAAATACTATTATGCAATCTAAATTGCACTGTGGTTTTCTTGTTTTCTGGTCATCTAAAAAAAATTGTATCCAAACTTTGATATCATCTACCTCAGAAAATTGTATAGTAGTTCATGCAATTGGGTACCCTTGATATCCTCACTAGGCATCAGCCTTGCATGTGTCCACATATGTTGTTTCTTTGATTTAATCGTTCTTTGACATCTTTATACTAATTCCAATCTTATAGGTTTCCTTAAACAATAAACACATTTGTTTGCTAATGAGCCCTATATACTCAGCAATGCAGTCTTATACAAAGCCTTTTTGGAAACTTCTAGATAATTTATATCTTTTTACAGAACTGATAATTAGCATGGATTCAAGCTCACCCCCATCTCAGGATCCACGTTGGAGAACCTGGGTTATATCTTTTGTTGCTCTTGTTTGCACTTTAACCCTCATATTCAGTTACTACAATTTGCTCAAACGGCTCTGCAGCACAAGCTTCTCAAGAAACCTGAATCGACGACGCATTCTGAACGAAATCAACCCGGATGATCCATCTCTACAGTTTCAGAGCCAGGGGCTAGACTTCTCTGTTAGGCGGTCTCTCCCCGTAACTCAGTTCAAGAAGAAAGATGAAGCAGAAGCTGCAGAACACAGCCAAAGCAATGCAGACTGCGCAATCTGCTTGGGCGAATTCGAAGAAGGTGAATGGCTGAAAAAACTGCCCAAATGCTCTCATGAGTTCCACATTTCTTGCATAGACACTTGGTTTGTGTCTCACTCAAACTGTCCCTTGTGCAGATCACAAGTCTACGATTTTATGCATGATTGTCTTGTTCCTATGGACACTGCATCAGAGACATTGAGCCAAGAAGAATTTCAAGAAAGAGCATCACATTACCAAATGCTGCAGACATTGAGCCAAGAAGAAATTCAAGAAAGGGCATCTCATTACCAAATGCTGCGATTCACCATCCTGGAGAACTCACCACTTGGAAGGGAAGCAAGATATGCCCATTGATTTTTTATTTTGTATAAATCCAAATCATTAGAGAAAGTGGAAGGTGCAGAATGCAACCCGAAGCACCCGCTTGCCATGTATCGTCTTAATTTTTCGGAATTGGAACAATGTTATGTTATCAGATTTTTAATGTAGAGATTATAATCCACCCCATTCAAGAATTCACCTTATTATAGCTAATTTTGAAGTGCTTTCTTGTTGTATCTTGTACATGGACCCCGATTTGACGCCACAAACGCTTGCACCTTGACTCACTCCCACGTTTCCCTGCAAGAGAAATTTAAGTCCGAGGATTTGGCTTGTTCTTGGGATCAACGACCTAATGAGTACCTCTAAACCCTACATCCAGACCCGACCCGACATGCTCAACAACCGACCCGGAGGCACTACATTCTGACAACCAAACACCCAAGTAGCCTACCATGTCATCCTCGTACTTTGAACAAATCTATTAATGGCATGTTTATTAATTTGTAATTGGATTAGGAGGAATTGAATTGAGGATGAATTGAACTGAGAAGTTCGATTGAGAAGAATTAGATTCCATATTCCTATTGAAGTTGTTTACTAAATCATATGAATTAAGGAGAGTTAGATTCCGAATTCCTATTGAAGTTGTTTGCTAAACTATATGGAATTGAGTTAGGAGTGGTACTAATGACTAAAATGTCCTCGTTGTTGGGTTGAAGTAGATAGCAAATTTGGAATTTTCAAAAATTGTGTGAGGATATAATGGATAAAAAAGATAAATTCCTAACGGATTAGTTATCCAGGAATCCTCTATAAGTGAAATTCAATTCATAATGAGACTTCCAATCCTGATTAGTAAACACACCATAAAAGTACGCTGGATTCACAACACATTTTTGGTCGGATGTGAGAAAAATTGGACGTTGTTAGTCTCCTTACACACACAAAGGTACCTTTTTCCATACAAGCACAAGCATGCTACGAGTCTCATGCAACTCTTTTGTTTTCCCGAGTCAGTAAAAAGCAAACCAAAATACTTCATTCTCACTAGAACAAAAGACTCGGATGGAACCAAAACAAATGAAAACATTGAGATCCACTTCACGATAGGCGGCCCAAAAGGAAAGAAACGGGCACAAAGTTCATTCAAACTTTCCGTGGACGCTTGGCATTAACCATGGCTTAATATGCAAAATGTGATTGAATACGAAAATGAAAGAGCATTCAAATGATGTTTCAAAATAGATTAAAATTTCAAGTCTACAAAGTCAGAACTGCAGGTATAACCACAAAAGACAAAGACAGTCGTTTTAAATCAGTAGCAAAAACTGTTACAACTTCAAAACTAGATCTGAGTGAGCACAAAGAGTCACAATGCTCTCTTACTAAGTAGCTCTGTCACTACCCTTAGATGATACCAATTTTGTTTGCCACATCCAAAGCATCGTAATCCGGGGTCAGCCTAACATAAGCCTTTTTGGTACCATCAGGCCTGGATCAAAAAAATTCAGACTATCAGATCATCATGGGACAGAGTCACAGAGCACATAAACAAGTACGCATTACAAGAAAGTAGTCTAACTGATCCACCATGTCTGAAAAAAGAAAATATAAACAGCTTGGATACAGGATAGCTCATGCATCAAATATTAAAACTTGCAAACTAGTCATCAAACCTACATCTTGGCTGAAAGTAACAGAGTATACACACAAACACATCATGCTTTCCCAGACACATAACAATTTCAGATGTAAACCTTCTGTTGGTTCCTACTTCTTAATATTAAATGGTACTAATGTGCAAATTCCAGGTCAAAATTTTTGAAATAATAGAAAATTTGATTCATTGCAAATTTCTTAAGGCATTATATTCTAATGTTACTGACCTGATCAAGGTATTCACTTTCTTGGACTGAATGTCATACATCTTCTTGACTGCATCCTTAATTTTCTTCTTGTCAGCACGTATGTCAACAATAAACACCAAAGTGTTGTTGTCTTCAATCTTCTTCATTGCAGATTCAGTAGTAAGAGGATACTTCAAAATTTGATAATGATCGAGCTTGTTCCTTGGTGGAGCACTGATACGAGGATACTTAGGGTTCCTCTCCTTTTTCAATGTCCTGGGCCTATGAAATGTAACTGAAGTTCGGATCTTCTTGGCCTTCTTCTTAAGGATGGGACCCGATTTCAAAGCCTTTGCAGCTTTCACGGCTTGTGACTTTGCATCTGCCTTTTTTGAAACATCAGCTGCAAAAGATATGCAGTGGTCAGCCAGAAACATTTAAACACAAAAACAAAAAGAATTAGTTGCTTTGCGAGGCAACTCATTGAAGAGGGGAAACTCCAAATGTTTATGAGAAAGAACACAGAGGAGGCAATGAGCATGGCGATGAAGACTGGAAACAATTGAATGTGCATCACCTAAGGTTACTGATTACACATACCTATCCATGCCAGACCCTTTAACAATGGATCAATATCTCTTGGGAAGAGCCATCTAAACAAGCTACTGTCGACATACATTGAATTATAACTAGTTACACAGAAAAAGGAAAAAACAAAAATGATTTGTTCCAAATACTCAAACATGGACCATAAATAGATGCTACACTCTAAAGATGTTAAAATTAACTTGATAAGTAGTTATATTTGAAAAAGGGAAATGAACAAGCTTTGACAAATTTGTTTCTTCCAATTCCCTTGATACTCCTAGACCTACTGCCTTAACGCTAAACCTAAAGACTAGATAGCAATCCTGCCATTCAATTGGCTTAGCTATGAAGTACTGGAAGCAAACTCATATGAATTCTCTGGGAGATTCATGCATACAAGTATGAAGGGTATCATTTCTAACTCAAAATAAGACCGCTACTCATAAACGTTAAATCATCAATACATTGATGTTCAGTTAACACTGAACCAAACATGATTGCAAAGCTTACTTTTGTTTTGTTAATCAATTTGCTCAAGTTTCATAGCAACTATTGATTAAAGAACAAATGGAACCAAGAGCAACATAAATTTACTCCGAGTATAAGGAACACTCGTACAATGATAAAACGGTTGACAAAGAAATTAGGGTTTTAAACAAACACAGAAAAATTCTAATACATTTGGTTTCTAAGAAAATGCAACATACGGTAGTAATCTCCCTACAAGCAAGAACCCGTAAAATCCACCTTACACGATTATTTGGCTCATAAAAGTTTGTTTGTCACTCTGTAACACTAAGAAATCGCGATCATTTAAATATATATAGCGAGCATTTGCAGCAATAACTACTTTTCCTTCATTTTCTCAGCAACCAAACAGTGACTTATGGAAACCGAAATTGATAATAACATAACAGCAACGAAAAAAAATGGAAATTGATAGCACGAGGCAAAAAGAAAATAAAGGAACAGTACCTTTAGCTGGAGCCATCGGTTGCCGACGAAGAAGGTCTGCTTATAAGCCCTTGTAACCACTAGGAAACCCTAAAAGAACACACAAATATAGCACGTAAATATCAACATTTTCTCACTGTTCAAAAACGTACATGTAAGTGCGTCTGAGAGAGAGAGAGAGAGAGAGAGAGAGAGAGAGAGAGAGAGCAACAGACCTGCCGGCGTGAAGCTGAGGAACCAGTAGGGTTTAGGATGGAGAAGAAAGCAGAGATTATATAGAGTCGTGTAAATTACACAAATGTCCATGGCTGTTATTTCATTCACTCGCATGGGCTTTCTAATCGTATACACGTTAATATGGGCCAGTCTTGAACACAAGGCCCAAGTCCAATATTAGAATTCTTGTCATCTCTATTTCTTTTGTTCTTTTATTTGCTGACGAGTAACTTTTCTTTAGCATTTTTTGAGAGTAAGGAACCTTGTTTCTGTTTAAAATTTAGGTAATGCATCCTATTTAAAGAATAAAAAAATGGTTGAAGTAATGCAGACATGGGTTAGCCCAGTTTGATTATGGCAATGTCTTGCACCCGAGTTCGTATCCTCCTGTCAATAAATTTAGAGTAATTTAAACTATCGCTTGTATTTAAAAATAATAATAATAAACTAGTTTGAACAAATTTTGATGTAGTATATTTGGCTCTTCAAATTACAATTTGGAGATGTTTTAACTGCTTTCTCATTTGAGCACTTAAAAATGGATTTAAATGGAATGAAATGAGTATTAACAAGTAAGAAATCAATAACAAAATCAATGAACTCTCTTTGGTACATAAAGAAGAAGCCTTATGAATTTCTATATCTATATGCGTGTAGCTAAGCTATGTATGATTTCAACTTTCACTGTCTGACTCTGGTAGGCCTTGGTTGTTATTTACATTCGGGTTGATGAATCCGGATGAAAGCTGTTTACACCGTAATTAACCAAGCGTGATTGTACACCAAGGTGGACATGTCTTCCTCCCTGCCAAAGGGAGATGCTCTTCCGAAGGGACAATCACCTGCCGAAGCTCCGAACTGCCAAACCTAAAATACAGGAGACACGTGTCATCATCACAGCAACTTGCACAAAGTCCCACATCGGAACTTTGTGCAAACCTCCTACTTTTACTTCCTTATAAGTAGGGAACAGTAACCAAGAAAAAGGGTAACTTCTCTTCCACTATTACTGTTACTTTGCAATAGTCACTACCCCTAGCTGACTCAGGCATCGGAGAGCCTTCGGCCGGCACCACACCGGTGTCCGAAGCTTAACGACTGCTTCTCCTATTTTTGTCTTCTGCAGGCTAGCCTTTTACTGAAGGCCCAGGCCCTTCTCTTGCTAAAGACAAACCTCTATCTCTAAGTTGACCCTCTCCGAAAAAGAGCATCAACAGTTTGGCGCCGTCTGTGGGAATCCAACACTTAAAACCCATTTTTCTCTACCAGCCCAGCTGGCTCCCTCACCTATCCGGCCCCGTCGCCTCTTCTTCACTCCACACTCAGCCATGCCTACCGAGGGTAGCCGGGATGCCCAGCGCAGTACCCCCCAGGAGGGTACCTCCCAGAGGGGACCGTCGGCGGAGGTCAATCTCCAAGCCGAGGTGGAACTCCTCCGCGCCAGTGTCGTCAAGATGTCCGAGAGGTGTGACCATCTTCACTCCAAGAATGTTGAGCTGGAGCACGACTACCGCACCCTGAAGCGTAACTGGGAAAGGAACCAAGCCCAGGGCTCCCAACGCAGCCTTACCCCGGAACCTGAACGCACACAGCCACACCAGCCGGGGCATTCCCACCATAGTCCCCCAATCCAGCCTAGGCCCAGCAAGGGTAAGGAACCCCTCCATCCGGAGGCGACCAAGTCACGGCTTCTCCGTATCTCCCCACCGAGGAACCGGCCTCATGAACCAACGAAGGTCTACAGGGATTGCAGGGATCGTATCCTGGACCGTCAGACGGGACCCCTTCTTATCCCCGTTAATCTCCAAGACCCAAAGGTGACACACCTAGGCCCCCCACCAAAACCAACCCGTGTGCCTACAGGAGAGGGTATGGGGGACTCGGATGACTGGGGGCATGATTACTCAGAAGAGCACGAGTCTTATCACACCGAGGAGTTCGATGGACCTGACCCTTATCTAGCTCCTGGCCACACACACACCAGACCTCCAGCACTCGAGACACTCCCTCATGCCGACCCGGCAATGAGACTTCTCTTCGAGAAGGTCCGGCGCCTGGAGAATGAGCAGCAGCGCAACCACCAACCCCTCTGGGCGAAGCCGCGACCTGGGCCCTTTACCGAACGCATCCTTAATTACCACCAAGAGAAGGAAATCCAGCCCCTCCGTATCGCCTTCTACACTGGCACTGAGGATCCCCTCACCCATATACATTCTTTCCAGTCTGCCATGGGATGCAAAGGCTTGACGGACGAAGGCATGTGCCTCCTCTTCCCATCTACCCTCAGCGGGGCGGCCCTGAATTGGTTCTACAGGCTGAGCCCCCGCACCATCAATACGTTTGACAGTCTGAAGCAGGCCTTCCTGGACCATTTCATGATCCAGACTGATCGTCTCTACTCTGCGGACGACCTGTACATGCTTAGGCAGGGTGAGGATGAGCCCCTTCGGGAGTATGCAGCCAGGTTCAGTCATGAGTACTCCCGCTGCCCAGAGACTGATGATCGTGCCGCCTTCGGTGCTTTCAAGAGTGGCCTCCGAGAGTCTAACTTTCGGTACCTTGTGCACAGCAACCCTTGGAACACGTATGCTGAACTAATGAAGCAGGCAGCGGTGCACGCCAAGGCTGAGTATTTCAACACCAAGCGTGGCCCGGCCACCCCGGCGCATCATCCTTTCGCTGATCCCCAACCCGCTTCAGCACCCACCTCAGCCCCACCTCAGCATTCTACTCCCGCCCCGAGTGGCCAGGGTATCCAGCAACCCAAACGGAAGGATAACTACCAGCATACCTTCAATAATAACAAACGGGGCAGGCACCACCACCACCAGTCCGGCGGGGCCAACCCGCAAAGGGCAGGTGATCGGGCTCCACTTCCCTTCTCACCCAAGCCCAGGTTCGAGGTCTTCACCACCCTGAACACCACCTACGAAAATGTCCTGGTGCACGAGGCACCTATCATACCCAAGCCTCCCCCCCGGAGACCAGGCAGCAAGCCCATGCCCAACACAGGTGTCTTCTGTCGTTTCCATCAGTTCGGTGGGCATGACACCGAATCTTGTGTTGCCTTGCGCAACATCATCGAAGGACTTATTCGCGATGGGAAACTGGATAAATATGTGAACAATCTCCCACCCCCACCTAACCCTCACCAACGTCAGATCAACATGATCTCAACTATTAGTGGTGGTCCCACTCTGGCTGGAACCTCCAACAACTCCATCAAACATTATGTCCGCTCCACCTATGCGCACCAGGTCTTCAGCGCTGAGCAGGGACGCTTGCCGAAGACCCACAAATCAGGCTGGGCTCCCATTACCTTCTGTGAGGAGGAGGAGCGTGGTGTCATCCTCCCCCACGATGACCCCATCATTATCCGCGCCGACATTTCTAACTTTGATGTGGGGCGTATCCTGGTGGACACTGGCAGTTCGGTCAGTGTGATGTTTGCTGAGGCCTTCAACGAGCTCCAGGTCCCATCTCACCTGCTCGACCGAAGCATCACACCCCTGGTGAGCTTCTCTGGTGAGGTGGTCCAGCCCATTGGGAGCATTCATCTCCCAATCTCCATTGGATCGGCACCCCAGCGGAGGACAATCACCACTCCCTTCCTCATTATCGACTGCCCTACAGCCTACAATGTCATCCTCGGCCGCCCCGCCATGGCCCAAATGAAGGTCTTCATCTCCACCCATATGCTGCTGCTCAAGTTTCCTACACCTCATGGCACAGGCACGGTGCGTGGAGACCAACTTGGCGCCCGAAGCTGCTACGCTTCGGCAGTAAGGTCCACCAACCGCCAACATCGGGGCGAGGCCCTCGCACTAACCCAGGTTCCAACACCGGTTCAAGCTGGCACCGAGCGTCCAGAGGACCCTAGGGAGGAATCTGTTACCCCACAGGCCGAACCTGTGGAAGATCTTGAGCTGGTTACTCTTGATGAAAACATCCCGGACCGGCAGGTCAGGATCGGCACCTCTCTCTCCCAGGAGCTTCGTTCTGATCTTGTCGCCTTCCTTCGCCTCAATTCTGAGGTCTTCGCCTGGTCGTACAATGACATGCCTGGCATATCACCTGAGATCATCTCCCACCGGCTCAGCATTAATCCTGCCGTTCGACCCGTTCGGCAGAAGCGCCGTGCTTATGACCCAGAGCGATACGAGGCCATGAGGGCAGAGGTGGACAAGCTAACTAGCATTGGATTTATCAAAGAGGTGGACTATCCCACCTGGCTGGCCAACGTGGTCATGGTCCGAAAGGGCACGAAGGGCTGGCGCATGTGTGTAGACTACACCAACCTCAATCGGGCCTGCCCGAAGGATAGCTTCCCCCTACCCCGCATCGACCAGTTGGTCGATGCCACAGCTGGCCACGCCCTCCTCAGCTTCATGGATGCTTACTCGGGGTACAACCAGATTTTCATGCATCCTGGGGACCAACCCCATACCTCCTTCATCACGGATCGTGGCCTTTACTGCTACAAGGTCATGCCCTTCGGCCTCAAGAACGCCGGGGCCACATATCAGCGTCTGGTGAACGGCATCTTCGCTCCCTTGATTGGCAACACCATGGAGGTTTATGTCGACGACATGCTCGTCAAGAGTCGCACCACTGACCAGCACATCCCCAACCTCTCAGCCATGTTCACCATTCTGAAGCAGTATAAGATGAGGCTCAACCCCACCAAGTGTGCATTTGGGGTGGCTTCAGGCAAATTCCTTGGCTTCATGATCAGCCAGAGGGGTATTGAGGCCAACCCAGAAAAGATCAAGGCCATATTAGACATGGCAGTACCCAGGACAATCAAGGACATCCAGAGCCTTACCGGGCGAGTCGCAGCCCTGACCAGATTCATCTCCAAGGCCACTGATCGCTGCGCCCCCTTCTTCCAGGCACTTAAGGGTAGCAAGCGGAGTATTACCTGGACCGCTGAATGCGACAAAGCTTTCAGCGAGCTGAAGGTGTATATGGGCCGGGCCCCCTTATTGTCAACACCTGAGCCTGGAGACACCCTCATGATCTATCTCTCCGTCTCGGCTACAGCCGTCAGTTCTGTGCTCATCCAGACTAAGAACAGTGCTGAGCACCCAGTGCATTACGTCAGCAAGGCGTTACAGGACGCCGAGGTTCGGTACCCAGACATCGAGAAGTTGGCATTCGCCTTGGTGGTTTCGGCTCGGCGCCTCAGGCCGTACTTTCAGGCTCATACCGTTCATGTCTTAACCAATCAACCACTTCGGCAAGTGTTGCAGAAGCCGGAAACTTCTGGGAGGCTAGTCAAGTGGGCCATTGAGCTTGGCGAATTTGACATCCACTACAAACCCCGCCCAGCCACGAAAGGCCAGGCCGTGGCTGACTTTATATCTGAATTCACTGAACCCCATGCCGTGGCCAGTCCACAGATCACGATGGAGCCCACTCCCACCCCGAGCCAGGTCCACGTCGCCAGCAACGGCACCCTAGACCTAACACAGCCCTTATGGACTTTGTATGTGGATGGCTCTTCCAACGCCCAGGGATGCGGAGCTGGCCTTGTTCTCATCTCTCCAGACAAGGTTGTCCTGGAGTACGCCCTTCGCTTCCAATTCCACGCCTCCAACAATGAGGCCGAATACGAGGCACTTTAGCTGGCCTCCGGTTAGCCAAGGAGATGGGCGCTAGGCAAATTCAGATTTTCAGCGACTCACAGCTCGTTGTGCACCAGGTCAACCAGGACTTCACTGCCAAGGACGTGTCCATGACAGCCTACCTCCAACATACACGCCATCTGCTTGCAACCTTCAATGCTTACCTCATCAACCAGGTACCACGCTCCGAGAATAGCCACGCCGATGCCCTAGCTAGACTCGCCTCAGCCATAGAGCAGGGCCTTGGCCGCAATATCCACATGGAAATCTTGGATCAGCCAAGCACGCGGGCACCACTTATCTGCGCCATCGATCACAGCCCAACATGGATGGACCCCATCCTCCAATTTTTGCAGAACCAGACCCTACCCGCTGACCCTGCTGAGGCGCGGCGTGTTCGCTATCGCTCCGCCCGATACTTAATCATTAATGGCGCCCTGTACAAGCGCGGATTCAGCTTACCCTACCTTCGGTGCCTGACCCCAGAGGAAGGCCACTATGTCCTCCGGGAAATCCACGAAGGCATCTGTGGTAGTCATTCAGGCGCCCGCTCACTTGCGCATAAGGCCATTCGGCAAGGATACTTCTGGCCCTCACTTCACACTGATGCCCAAGCCTTCACCCAGAAGTGCGACAAGTGTCAGCGGTTTGCCAATATTCCTCAACTCCCGGCTGAACCTTTAACAGCCATGGTCAGCCCTTGGCCATTCGCCCAGTGGGGACTTGACCTCATCGGACCTATGCCCGAGGGCAAAGGCCAGGTTAAGTACGCAGTCGTGGCCGTCGACTACTTCACTAAGTGGGCGGAAGCTGAGGCCCTGGCCACCATCACTGCGGCTCGTATTGAGACGTTCGTTTGGCAAAATATCGTGTGCCGCTTCGGCATCCCCAACGCCATCGTCACAGACAACGGTCGGCAATTTGACAACGCCAAATTTAGGCAGTTTTGTTCCAACCTCAAGATAAAACTTTGCTTCGCTTCTCCAGCCCATCCTCAGTCCAATGGCCAGGTCGAAGCCGTGAACAAAATTATCAAGAAGACCCTGAAGACCAAGCTTGACAAAGCCAAGGGTTGCTGGCCAGATCTACTCCCAGAGGTTCTTTGGGCTTACCGCACCACCTTTCGTACCTCAACGGGAGAAACACCGTTTTCCCTTTCCTTTGGTACCGAAGCGGTGGCACCAGTGGAGATTGGCCAGCCAACATACCGAACCTCCACTTACGAGGCCGAGGCCAATAACGAGCAGCTGGCCCTCAACCTCGATTTTATCGACGAGCTTCGTGACCAGTCCAACATGCGCAACGTCGCATACAAGCAGCGCATTGCCAAGTACTACAACTCCAGAGTTAAACCTCGAGCTTTCACAACTGGGGACTGGGTCATGCGCAAGGTTTCATTAGCCACTAAGAATCCTAATGAAGGTACCCTGGGCCCTACGTGGGAAGGTCCGTATGAGATCACCAAGGTTTGCCGCCCCGGGACTTACCAACTTCGGGACCACAAGGGCAAAACGTTGCCTCACCCTTGGAACGCTGACCATCTCAAGAGCTACTACAAGTAAACATACCTAGACCCTAGGACATTGTGTTTTGTTATACTTTGGTCTTGAGCCTCGACTCAAACCCACCATTGTACTTTTTGCCCTTCGGCACCCATCTAATAGAAGCACCCAACTGGGCCCCATTTCTACTTCAGAACTTGGCAGAATGCTTAAAGTAAAAAGGTACCACGCTATCATAAAAATCAAAGTAACCCTGCCTTAGGGCAGGGAAATATCCATACATGTCAAAAGACTACGTCTGAAATAACTGGGTACAACATAGCAAAAATACAAACAAGCCCTCAGGCATCAGCATGGTCGTCCGCCTCATCCTCGGCAGCTGTGTCGGGATCCACGGTCGACTCCCCTCCGCTAGCATCGGCACCTCCCCGCGTCTCAGCCTCCGAAGGACTCGTGGCTTCGGCAGATGGTGTGGCCGCAAACAGTGACTCCCGACCGGAAGGAATGGGAGGAGGAACACCACTGGTGTCGAAGTTTATATCCAACCCTGGATTAAACCTCGCAACCTGTTTCTCCCACCCATACTGCTCCTCGACCATCGCGTCCAGCACAAGGCTCTTGAACCTGTCTGAGCCCTGATACTCCTCCACAGCCTCGGCACGAGCCCTGCTCAGCTCCTCGGTCCTCCTCCTCTCAGACTCGAGCCTAGCCTCCTCCACAGCCTCCAGCCGCCGGGTCGTCTCCTTCAGCTCCCGCTCCAACCTCCCCACCTTCAGCTGCAGCGCATTCCTCTCCCGGAGGGCAGCCTGAGCCTCGGCGGTAGCAGCCTTGGCTGCCTCGGAATGGCGTCTGGCCAGGTTCACCTCTCTCTCTGCCCTGGCTAGGGTAAGGTACATATCCCCAAAAGCCTGCAAGAAAGGTATGTTCATAAGCAGATCACAATTGCACTGGTAGGGAGTCAAAGGCACAGGACTACTTACATTGGCGGCAGAGAGCACCGTCTTCTGCACCCGATCGGAGAAGTCCGTGGCCTTGGTCCGAGCGAGCTCCCCCGCATCAATCTTTACCCCAGTCAGGAAGGCGTTGACAAGAGGCACTTCCTGGCGATGCATGGCCAGGGTTACCTCCTTCGCCTCCCGTCGAACCGAGGCAAAGTCTATATCCTCGGTACCTGCAGGGAATAGCTCCTCCATCTCGAGCGGCAGCCTGGGTGGGGGATCTAGGTCAAACGGCGGCAGCACTGTCCCACCCATGACGTCATGGATTGAGGACTCAAGTCCCCTCCGCTTCTTCTCCAGCTCCTCCAACCGCTCATCCTCCTCCGTCCGAGGCCGCTTCCCAGCAGCCCGGGCTGCTGTCCCCTCGGCGGTACTGGGCGCCCCCCTTTGCCTGCTTCTTGGCCCTATTGGCCCTATCCTTCTCCCTTCTCTCTTGCAACTTTCGCTGCCTCTCCTCTGGATCCACCACCACCTTCGGTGACGTCTCAACCACGGTCACCACTTTCTTCGGTACCTCAGCCACTGAAAAGCAACACCGAAGCAAAGGTGAGAAGATATACCACAACATACATAAAACGGAGGGAGTGGGCTAATACTTACTTCCTTGAAGCAAACCCGACTGTAGAAGAAGGGCTGGGGTCACAATATTCTTCAGCTCACGCGCCTCCTGGCTCACCTGTCTCCTCACCAGCTCTATCTCTTCCTCTTCCTCCCTAGACACTGGCCTACACTTCACCGAACCTGCACATAGACAAAGGCGTTAGTTCTCACAAGCTTCAGACAACAATACATTCATACCAACACATTCAAACACAAAGACAGGAGTGATGACAAAAGACCTATAGATTGAAAATGGGTAGGCACATGTTTGCTGACAGTCGTCCCAGGCCAGCACTCCCAATCACCAAAGGCAAAGAACCATCGATTTCGCCACGTCTTCTGTGACGATGGTGGTTGCCCTATAAAATATCCTCTCTCCTTCGCCTTTCGGCAGTTGACCTGCACCCAGCCAAAGTTGCCCTGTTGCCTGGACACTGAGTACAGATGCATGAACTGCTCAAAGGTGGGCTCCCCTCGTTTCGCCAACCACCACGCTATGTACACCCCGTGCAGTATACACCAGAAGTTGGGATTATACTGCCCAGGGGCATAGCCCAGTCTGGAAAGCATCATTTGCACCCAAGGATGCAATGGTAACCTCAACCCATGTTTGTACATGGCTGAGAACACCATAACGCAACCCTCGGGAGGGTATCTAGCCGCTTCAGTAGGTATGGGCAACCTCAGCCCCACACAATCAGGTATCGCATAGTCTGCCTTCAGTGACTCTAGATCATACAAACTCATCATATTTTTCTTCGGTAGTGGAACCCCTATTGGGATACCCACATCAGCGGATGCTACTACCACCGTCCCACACCCCGACGGCCCAGCCCGCCCACTTCCACTAGCCTCTGGTGCCTGGGTTATCCCCAACACCCGGTTTGCACAAGCTTCTAGGGCCACATAGTTCCTTTGCATCTCCCTATAAGCTTCCCCCCCAGAACTCCTTGACTGCTCTTCTCCCCCAACCCTATTTCCCTCCATTATCAGCCCTTCCACCACACGTTCAGACTCAGTACTTTCCCCATCAGTACCCAAGTCTTCATTAGGGCTACCACTCTCAAACTCTTCCCCACTGAAGGCATGGGGACTTGGGGAGCTTTGACTTTCTCTTTCAGAATTATCAGACATCTACAAACACAAAAAAGGGAAACTAAGGGGCATGCGAGGATTGAAAACAAGAACCTAGGCATGTTCTTAATATGTTCATGGACGTTCATCTACGTTCATATCACATTCATGCAAAACTCAAACAAAAGGGGCATTTCAATCCAGAAGGGGAGAAGGAGCACGAGGCATACCTTGTTATATCCACCGTCCACGGTTGCCGGAAATCGCCTGGCTCACAAGGGTACCTCCTCAAGCCTTGCCGGAAATCGCTCCGCCGTCCTTGAAATCTCTCAGAAATCGCCCTTGCTCGTCTACTAAAATCTTTCAAAAACTCAAAGTGCTCACTCCTTCAGCCCTCCACAACCTTTTAAAGGCATACGAAGGACCCCTCGATTCCCGTTCCAAGCAAAAACTCATCATACCGTTGGGACGCCTCGATTTCCACAAGCAGACGTTTCTATACCACTGCCACATGGCACTCGCGACGTCACACCTTCCCTTCGGAAGGCTCCCTTCCGAAGCTTGGAAGGATCCCTCGCGACACGCGATGACGTCACATCTTCCCTTCGGAAGGCTCCCTTCCGAAGCTTGGAAGGATCCCTCGCGACACGCGATGACGTCACACCTTCCCTTCGGAAGGCATGATGACGTCATACCTTACCTTCGGAAGGCTCCCTTCCGAAGCTTGGAAGGAGTCCTCATGGTGACGTCACACCTTCCCTTCGGAAGGCATGATGACGTCACACCTTCCCTTCGGAAGGCTCCCTTCCGAAGCTTGGAAGGATCCCTCGCGACACGCGATGACGTCACATCTTCCCTTCGGAAGGCTCCCTTCCGAAGCTTGGGAGGAGTCCTCGTGATGACGTCACACCTTCCCTTCGGAAGGCATGATGACGTCATACCTTCCCTTCGGAAGGCTCCCTTCCGAAGCTTGGAAGGAGTCCTCACGACACGTGGTGACGTCACACCTTCCCTTCGGAAGGCATGATGACGTCATACCTTCCCTTCGGAAGGCTCCCTTCCGAAGCTTGGAAGGATCCCTCGCGACACGCGATGACGTCACACCTTCCCTTCGGAAGGCATGATGACGTCATACCTTACCTTCGGAAGGCTCCCTTCCGAAGCTTGGAAGGAGTCCTCATGGTGACGTCACACCTTCCCTTCGGAAGGCTCCCTTCCGAAGCTTGGAAGGAGTCCTCGCGACACGTGATGACGTCACACCTTCCCTTCGGAAGGCATGATGACGTCATACCTTCCCTTCGGAAGGCTCCCTTCCGAAGCTTGGAACGACACGTGGTGACGTCACACCTTCCCTTCGGAAGGCATGATGACGTCATACCTTCCCTTCGGAAGGCTCCCTTCCGAAGCTTGGAAGGAGTCCTCATGGTGACGTCACACCTTCCCTTCGGAAGGCATGATGACGTCACACCTTCCCTTCGGAAGGCTCCCTTCCGAAGCTTGGAAGGAGTCCTCATGGTGACGTCACACCTTCCCTTCGGAAGGCATGATGACGTCACACCTTCCCTTCGGAAGGCTCCCTTCCGAAGCTTGGAAGGAGTCCTCACGACACGTGGTGACGTCACACCTTCCCTTCGGAAGGCATGATGACGTCATACCTTCCCTTCGGAAGGCTCCCTTCCGAAGCTTGGAAGGATCCCTCGCGTGACGTCACACCTTCCCTTCGGAAGGCATGATGACGTCATACCTTACCTTCGGAAGGCTCCCTTCCGAAGCTTGGAAGGAGTCCTCATGGTGACGTCACACCTTCCCTTCGGAAGGCATGATGACGTCACACCTTCCCTTCGGAAGGCTCCCTTCCGAAGCTTGGAAGGAGTCCTCGCGACACGTGATGACGTCACACCTTCCCTTCGGAAGGCATGATGACGTCATACCTTCCCTTCGGAAGGCTCCCTTCCGAAGCTTGGAAGGAGTCCTCACGACACGTGGTGACGTCACACCTTCCCTTCGGAAGGCATGATGACGTCATACCTTCCCTTCGGAAGGCTCCCTTCCGAAGCTTGGAAGGAGTCCTCATGGTGACGTCACACCTTCCCTTCGGAAGGCATGATGACGTCACACCTTCCCTTCGGAAGGCTCCCTTCCGAAGCTTGGAAGGAGTCCCTCATGGTGACGTCACACCTTCCCTTCGGAAGGCATGATGACGTCACACCTTCCCTTCGGAAGGCTCCCTTCCGAAGCTTGGAAGGAGTCCTCACGACACGTGGTGACGTCACACCTTCCCTTCGGAAGGCATGATGACGTCACACCTTCCCTTCGGAAGGCTCCCTTCCGAAGCTTGGAAGGAGTCCTCATGGTGACGTCACACCTTCCCTTCGGAAGGCACGATGACGTCACACCTTCCCTTCGGAAGGCTCCCTTCCGAAGCTTGGAAGGAGTCCTCATGGTGACGTCACACCTTCCCTTCGGAAGGCATGATGACGTCACACCTTCCCTTCGGAAGGCTCCCTTCCGAAGCTTGGAAGGAGTCCTCATGGTGACGTCACACCTTCCCTTCGGAAGGCATGATGACGTCACACCTTCCCTTCGGAAGGCTCCCTTCCGAAGCTTGGAAGGACCCCTCGCGACACGCGATGACGTCACACCTTCCCTTCAGAAGACATGATGACGTCACACCTTCCCTTCGGAAGGCTCCCTTCCGAAGCTTGGAAGGAGACCACCCGTGACGTCATACCTTACCTTCGGAAGGCTATCTTCGGAAGGCTACCTTCGGTAGGCCACCTTCGGAAGGCTATCTTCGGTAGGCCACCTTCGGCCACCCCCCATGACCGAAAAGGTAAATTCTAGTTTTCAAACTTGGGGGACTAGGGGACTACCTTCGGCACCCGCCACGCTGACACGCTTGGTTGAAATACGCAACCTCTTCACAAGTTCCCAAACCAGAAGCCACTTCTTGATTGACAACTTGGGGGACTACTGTTTACACCATAATTAACCAAGCGTGATTGTACACCAAGGTGGACATGTCTTCCTCCCTGCCAAAGGGAGATGCTCTTCCGAAGGGACAATCACCTGCCGAAGCTCCGAACTGCCAAACCTAAAATACAGGAGACACGTGTCATCATCACAGCAACTTGCACAAAGTCCCACATCGGAACTTTGTGCAAACCTCCTACTTTTACTTCCTTATAAGTAGGGAACAGTAACCAAGAAAAAGGGTAACTTCTCTTCCACTATTACTGTTACTTTGCAATAGTCACTACCCCTAGCTGACTCAGGCATCGGAGAGCCTTCGGCCGGCACCACACCGGTGTCCGAAGCTTAACGACTGCTTCTCCTATTTTTGTCTTCTGCAGGCTAGCCTTTTACTGAAGGCCCAGGCCCTTCTCTTGCTAAAGACAAACCTCTATCTCTAAGTTGACCCTCTCCGAAAAAGAGCATCAACAAAAGCCCTTGAATATCAGAACCATAAACATGACCCATCTTGGTTCGTTTTGTTTCCAAGTAGGTCTTGTTTTCCTCTGTAATTGGTGTCAACACTGGAACCCTCCCAACCACAGCCAACCCGTATCCCTTTAGTCCAGTGAACTTTGCAGGGTTGTTCGTCATTAGTCTCATTGTTCGAACCCCAATGTCTCTCAGAATCTGCTTACAATCATTCGCAACAATTGTTATTATATACATAATTGAAATACTATCTCATTACGTTTCGTTCACGTATGTTTATGTTCGAGTGTGTAGTTCATATTCATAGTCTGACAATACAAGCATTTGTTATTATTTAGACCATGGTTTGTGAAACTGACCTGAGCACCGATCCCGTATTCGCGAGAATCAACAGATAGTCCAAGTTCTATATTGGCCTGGACTGTGTCATGGCCTTGGTCCTGCAGATTATAGGCTTGAAGTTTGTGGCCAAGGCCAATGCCTCTTCCTTCATGACCTCTAAGGTAAACAACAACTCCCCGACCGGCTTGCTCAATTAACTGCATTGCCAAGTCCAACTGGTTGCCGCAATCACACCGGGCTGATCCGAATATGTCCCCTGTCAAACACTCGGAATGAACTCTTACCAGCACATCTTCTCCGTTCCCAATGCTTCCCTGTCGATGTTCGATAGAAATTTAGCAGAAGTTTGGCGCATATATTTACCTTGCCAAATCACCAAATGATCCTTCTTGTTTTTGTACAAGAAAGGTTCATGCATACCTTCACAACAGCAACATGTTCTGTTCCATCTAGCTTAGAGTTGTAGCAATAAGCCTGAAACAATCCCCACTTTGTAGGTAAACGAGAAACTGCTTTTCTTTCAACCAATTTTTCCCTCTTTCTCCTGTACCTATTAGCATAACATACTATATGAGCAAAATCAACAATCATAGTTCTAAATCATCCAAGGCAAAACTTTCTAAGAAATTTTTATATGTGGTTGAGTAGATTGTTTACCTGATCAAATCAGTTATGGAGACAATTGGAATGGAGTGGTCCAATGAGAGTTTTCTTAAATTGGGCAAAGAGGCCATGGAGCCATCTTCTGCATCAACTACAGCTGAGAGAACAGACACTGGCCTCAAGCCTGCCAGAACAACCAGATCAACCGAAGCCTCAGTGTGGCCGGCTCTCCTTAGAATGCCGCCATTTCGGTACTTGAGAGGAAACACATGGCCAGGCCTTCTAAAGTCTTGTGGCTTAGAATCATGAGATGCGAGAGCTACCACAGTCTTTGCCCTGTCTACAGCTGACACTCCAGTTACTTCAAAAAAAAAAAAAAAAAAGAAAGTTTGCTTCTTGTTAAATTGCAGCCTATGTTTTAAAAATGTTGGAGAATTCTGAGGCGTTTGCAAAGGATTACCACTGTGATTGTGAATGTGGGGGCGGATGAGTCTTCTTCCTCAGTCTCTGGTGACATCAGAGGAAGCTTCAATCTTTCAAGATCCTCCTCTTTCATGCCTACAGAGACAATCCCAGACCCTTGCTTGATCAGGAATGCTACGTCTTTCGGACTTGTGAATGATGCTGCCATGACTAAGTTTCCTTCCACTTCCCCATTTTCATCATCTACAACAATCACAAACTAAACACTAAAAAAAAAACAAATTAGTGGCGGTTAACATGAAATTCACTGTGTAGCAAATCATATATTCAAACCAGCATTGATATTGTTCACGACTAAATATTTTAAGTTCCATTGAACCCAAAAAGTGGAATTTTAACTTAAAAATCTGGATTCTACAATTTGGATCTAATATCATTGACTCATAGCTTGAATTGAGCTACAAAACCTCAGCACATGCTTATCTATGTACACATAATATTCAATTGTTCTACCCAAAAAAAAAAAATATTAATTGTATTTGTAATTCCCAAAAGCAATAACACTTCTAACCTTTCCTTGGCGTAATGTGTTAAGAGCCTGCTCTATGGATGAGTAGCCCTCGGATGGGCAATCGGGGTCGCCCTCAGCATCACTAACAAAGAAATCAATGGTCTCTGGTGTGATCTCAGCATCCAACGTCCCAAATGGCACTGCTGAAGCAGCCTCATCCAAGCCACCCAACAAAGAACCATTTTGATCAATTCCCTTCAGATTATTAGCATCACCAAAAAGGTCCCCAGCTGCTCCAAGGCTACTACTTCCAGACACCCCAATAGCCCAAGTTGTTGGATTCAACCACCTTTGCCTGTACAGGCACTGATGAACCACAAGAGACCGATGCACACTGTGACAGAATCACCCGAGTTATGAGTTCAAATTTCATGAACGACAGTTTTTGATTAATTTTAAAAATAAAAAAAAACAATGAGAAAGAACCTTGAGCTAGTGAGGATATAGGGGAAGAGGGGGTGAGGAATTAAAGCATCCATGAACAGAGGGATTTGAGAGACTTCAACTTCTTCTCTAGTTGTTTTCTCTAGGAATTAGAACTTGCATATTGTGTGCTGTATGAAGGGAAGAAAAATCCCACCTCTAGTTTCGGATGTGCTTGCAAGTTTTGCTCTCAAGCCGTTATCCAAAACTTGAATAAATGTACGGAATTGTGAGCCACATTATTTTCCGTATAAATTTGGTTGGTGTGATGGCGACATAAAAAGAATTGGCTGCTGCTGTCAGTTAGATTATCCTCAAACAAATTGTAGTTTTGGAGCCAAAGGATGAAGATTAGAATAAATGCAATAGACAAAGATTACTCAATAAAATTCACTAAAATATTAACCATAATTTGTACCTTTAATTACTCACACTTAATGAATAGTTCAGCCATTTCATAAAAACAATAGACTCAGATGATTGTTGTGCAAGTTATGATCATTTTTCATTAGGCGTGGTAGTGTGTAAGTCATGATCCTTTTTTACTGGGCTAGATTCCGTCAACAAAGATGATTGAATTTAATAACTTAATATGCATGTAAAAATTGTGATAAACTCGATCCCGATGGAAGCCGAGAGATGGAAATCAATGTGACTTGCTATTCGAGAGTATATATATATATATATTCTCGGGTTTTGAGAGAAATTCAAACTTAACTTTTTCTCCTAACTGAATAGAGATGACACCATCGTATTCTACCTGGAAAGGGTACAATAAAGCAATAAAGGGTAATATATATATATATATGTCACATCAGCAAACCAACGGAGTTTTTGACGGAACCTAACAGCAGGGAACATTTCTGATCACACATACTAACTTGGACGGACCACAAAAAAAAAAAAAAAAAAAAAAAAAAAAAAAAACATTACATGTAATATATATAGTTTCGTAAACCTTAGAGTCGTTTTGTGATATTAAGCCTTATTTAATATATAATTTCCTAAGAATTAACATATCAACTATTTTTTTCATCTAATAACATTTCTCTATTCTGGATCGATTTTCAAAGAATTGAAAACACATCAACCGTTATTCTGTAACATCATCAAACAGCAGATGAGGGTTGACCAAATAAACGGTTGATCTTGCAGTGTACAAGAACAACCTTTTATTCAACCAAAAAAGTCCAAGTTGGACAAAGACCCGTCTTCGGGACCTGCTGACATGTCTACACTTTTAAAACCCACAGAAAGCGAAAATGCTTCAACAGCCTTCCCACAACAAAACACAGAGAAATAGCCGCCGGCGATTGCGAAACGCTGCTCACTGCGCGACTGGTTTCGCTGAAAAAAATTAAATTAAATTAAATACAAACTAAAGAAGAAACAAGCTTTTTAAACCTTCTCCCGCCACGTATCCCCAAGCTCTCTCTCCCTCTCTCTCTTTCTCTATTTGATCCCCAACCCTCAGGCCCCACATCATTTCTCCGGCGACCAAACGGCACCGCATTGACGCGACTTTCCAAGCGATAGCCAGTCAGCTACGCTCTTCGTTATCGGGCCATGGCCGAAACGGCGCCGTTATCGATTGTTACGCAGCCGAGCAAGCTATGGAAGGGGGTTTTCGCCGTGGCCGGAATCATGACCACGCTCGTCACCTACGGCGTTCTCCAGGTCCGAATTTCTCTCGCATTCCTCCAGCCCTTCGAATCGACCTCCATTGTCATCATTTTCATGGCAAAAAGCTTGAATCTTGCTCCGTTTTCGTGCAGGAAAAGATCATGAGAGTCCCGTACGGGGACGACAAGGCGTTTTTCAGGTACTCGTTATTTCTCGTCTTCTGCAATCGCATTGCGACGTCGGCGATCTCCGCCGGAGCCTTGTTGGCGAGCAAGAAGGCTTTGGATCCCGTTGCTCCGGTCTACAAGTACTCCCTTGTATCGGTTTCTAACATATTAACCACTACATGTCAGTATGAGGTGAGCTGTGGGCTTTAATTTGGTAAAACATGTATTGTTTGTTTTGGTTTTGATGATTTGGTGCATTTTGGTGATTGCAAATTCTTGTTGCAGGCTCTCAAATACGTCAGCTTTCCTGTTCAAACACTTGCAAAATGTGCCAAGATGATACCTGTGATGGTGAGAAGAAGACATTGTCTTTAGTTTTGGTACTTGATTGTACTATTTATGAATAGTTATATCTGTTTGCTTAATTTTTATATTATTTTGTTTTTGAGTACTTGAGGCTCTAACATAAATAAGGTGTGAAGTATTTATCAAGTTGAGTGACATTTTGTTCTGATTTGAAGTTTTGAACCATAAATAAATCCTGAAAGCATTCAGCTTATTTAGTGTACTTGATGAGAAAGAACAACACATGTGCTAACTAGAAGACAGATAAAAGAAAAATGGATAATCACTTTGCTAGCACTTCATGAGTTGCTTTCTGAATAGCCATACCTTCTGAATTAACCAGCTAGTTTAGGGAAATGAACAAGAAACCAAACTGTTTTGTATTGCTCAGAGTGTCATACATCTTATGATCTCGGATGATTTATGATCCCGCCTTTGCGTAGTATGAGGAGGAAGGTGCGGCAGGTGGAGCTGTGAAAGTTTAGTTTATATGTTAACTTTACATTAATAGCATTCTAGGTGCCTGTAAGAAGTCATCAATCATGGTGATGATTTTGAATATGCCCAATACTTGTCGAAAAGAAAAAGGTTGGCCCTTTATATCCACTATATTAGTGAATGTCTACATATCTGAAAATTTGGTATTCCCTGTTAAACTATTACAAAATGAACACCTAATGTAAAAGCTTAAACAATGGGAAGATACATTGATACTTATACTCACACTAGCACTCCCTCAGCTTTAGGACAGATTGAAGTTTACAAGCTATGAAGTTAGCTGTTGAAGCCCAAGGGTTGATGGAAAGGTCAAAAATATAGTATAGCCTGTATAGGGTGAACAAAATGGGCACTAACCACTGTAAATGTAAGGACAAAAGCTGATAAACCGGCTTTGAATGATTAGTGGTTTCCCAATGTTTGAGCATGTGAAAGTTGAGCTTGAAGTGAGACCTGAGAAGTATACTAATAAAAAATATTCTTAGTGACTTCATTATCTTTTTTCACAAAGAAAAAATGATCTTATTTTCTTTGGTTTGCCATTTCATGCTGTTATTTTTTTATGCAGGTTTGGGGCACTATCATTATGCAAAAGAAATACAAGGGACAGGACTATTTGTTGGCATTTCTAGTGACAGTGGGCTGTTCAATATTTATTTTATATCCGGTATGGCCCTAGTCTCTGATTACCTGCCAACTTCCCTAAAATTTTCCACTGAGGCGTGCGCATGCAAATGATTGTAGTTTGAAAAGTGGTAAATAATTGTCAGCATGCTACCACTTTGCAGTACTTGTAAATGCTGTAGTCTCTGATTCCCAGTGCAAGTTTCTTTAGCTTCCTGAATCAGGGGGTGCACATGCGGATGATGGTATATTGGGAACTTGCAACAAATGTCAGCAATTTTGCATGCAGACTTATAAACTTCCATTCAATTTCTTTCTATATGTAATCTCATGCAAGATTGGAATACCCAAAAGTAGACTTTTGCCTTTGAAGTGTCTTGATGGCTACTGTATGGGGTGTGCTTACTGATATTATTGTATATATGGAATTGTATTGTTACTTCATGGAGAATTCTCTAATTCATTAAATTCTATATTTTATGCTCTTGTACTTATTAGTTTTCAAGTGGGTTCAAGGTGTTTTCCTTTAGTTTCATAGTTGCCTTAGAACTGTAAGAATTGTTATCTCTCAATTTCAAAGGAAAAGATTCATTCCAGTTCAGGTTGCTTATCATAAAGAATTAGGTAACTTCTGTACACTTGCTACCTTCATGCACATCTTAGTATGATCACAATGTGTGAGGGCATTTGACAAATAGATGTGGTGTTCTATGACCTAAAAGCAATAAACTTCTATCATTTAGCAACGGGATATTTATGACTCATTTGCTGGTTTTCTGAAATGGTCTATTAGTTAGAGGAGATTCCATCTATGTTCATGCATGGGACTGTTGTGTGAGATCCTTTTGTTTGGTGATGCAAAAAATCTGGGTTAGTTTTGTAGTGCTTTGATATAAATAGAAATAATTGTTTGTGCTTTTGATTGTAGGCAGGATCTTCTGAGATTGGTCCATCTGATATATATGGTAGAGGAAGAGAAAATACTGTTTGGGGCATTTCCCTAATGATTGGTTATCTTGGGTATTAATTTGAACCCTCTGTTTATTAGATTAATTAGTTATGCTTAATTTTAAATTTGTTTGTTGCCAGCTGCTAAAATGAACATACTAAATACAGTTCAGTGCAATTCAAATATATTAATTTATATGAAATTAATACCTGTTATACTTACTTTGATAAAGGTGTGCCATTGAACTTTTTCTTGATGCTTACACCTATCTCTGAGGCAAGTGGGACACTTAGACTATCAAAATCAGATTGCTAGGATAACAATAATTTATACCAATGCCGCCCCATTATACTAAATTGCTTTAAATGCTCCTTTACAGAAGTAAAACATACCAAAACAAGTAATTTAAAGTTTCACGCTTGTAATTGATTATGAGTGTAGCACTGTGGCAGCATCGATGATTTTGCGCTTGTCTATTTTCCTTTTGCTTCATTTTTCCACTGTTTAGCAAGAACAAAAATGTTTACGCAACAAGATATTTGGAACCAAAATTTTATATATTTAGTTTCTCATTTCTGTTCAAACAGGTTTGATGGCTTTACAAGCACGTTCCAAGATAAACTATTTAAAGGCTATGATATGGAGATACACAATCAAATATTTTACACTGCATTCTGTTCTTGTGTTCTCAGCTTGACAGGTAAGATCCTTATTCTGATCTTGTTGATCCATTAGTAGTTATGTTAATTGCGCTGGGGGATATTTCATAGTGGGGTTGTCTGTGCTTCTTTGTGCTTAATGGGATTTATTTGTTCATATGTTGTCAGAATTTATGTTGTGGATTTCTTATCATTATCTTGACTGACTCAGGATGCATAGTCAAATTTCAAAGTGATCCAAGCATTGTTGTTTTTGTGTTCTACTTGAAGGTTGTGATTGTTTGTTCATATGTTGTCAGAATTTATGTTGTGGATTTCGTATCATTATCTTGACTGACTCAGGATGCATAGTCAAGCTTCAAAGTGATCCAAGCATTGTTGTGTTTGTGTTCTACTTGAAGGTTGTGAATTTCACTATCAGGTTGTAGGTACCAAGCAATCATAAATTTGTTTTTCAATCGATAATCTACAATTTTAGCTCATACATCTGTTTGGTGTATGTGGATAAAGGAATATGCCCTTTACATTAATTTACTGATGGCATGGAAAATCTCGCTTGCAAATATGAATTATTTGTTAAACATGTTTAACCTGTTGTCTAGAAGATCTTGTACTAGTTGATTAGCATAGGGGGGTTTGCTGACTTGAAGCTTTGAAACCCCGACCCCTTCATGAGGAGGAGAAACCCATTTTCTAACTTGATTAATCGCTCATTGTTGCTCAAAATGAATGGTGTCATTGTAAGCCACTGGTTGATCACTGATCTGGTGTTTGAATATTTTATGAGTTGTTTAAATTAATCTAACGTACAAGTCTCCTTTATTTATTTATTTTGGATTTTATTTGTTTCTTTTGCATTGAAGTGGTGGGTTATTTAATGTGCTAAATTTTCAGGTCTTATATTACAAGGACAGTTGCTTCCAGCAATCCACTTTGTTTCTATCCACAATGATTGTTTCTTTGACATTGCAATGCTTTCCACTGTAAGAGATCTTTTCTTCCTATTATGGTATATGTTTTTTTCTTATTTAATTACTTTGTATTCATTTTAGCAGTTGTTTTTAATTTTTCGGTGCTTATGTCCATTGTTCAAGTCTCTCTCTTTCCTATCCTGTCCAATTTTATTTTTCTTGCCTCGTCTTCTCCTCTGTCACTTGTTTCTCTTTTCTTTTCCTTGGTTATTTACAAGTGGTTTGTGTTGCAGGTAGCAACAGCTAGCCAATTTTTCATTTCTTACACGATTCGCACATTTGGTGCTCTCACATTTGCCACTATAATGACCACAAGACAGGTGAATCATATCTCTGCAAAATAATCCTTGAAATTTTTTTGTTCTCAGTTCTCATGTATCCATGCTTCTGATATATGGTTTTTTCTCTCTTTGGCAATGAAGTTGGTCAGCATTATGCTATCATGCTTGTGGTTTTCACACCCCCTTAGCAGGGAACAATGGATTGGAGCTGTAAGCTTCAACTCAAACCTAATTATATTTTGCCCTATTTTTGATTTCCTGAAACCCAATAACTCTGCTTTTATTACAATGATCAGGTCGTTGTCTTTGGTACCCTCTATGCAAAAAGCTTCCTGAGAAGTGCACCAAAGCCTTCAGCTTCCCAACAAATGCAGAATGGAGCTTCTCTTCCAGTGAAGGGGAACCCTTGATAGTGTTTGGGTTACCGGTTGCCATAATATGTTGGACTAGGTACTGCCTCTAACTTTGACCAATGTGCAGCTTTGGTTTTGCAAGTGTAGAGCTGCAACCTACGAACAAGCCTTTGATGTGGTGAAATTGATCTAAGTATTGACTTTAGATCACACACACCACACACATGCATACGGATTCTAGAAGCTAGAAGTCTCATTGGAGGCCTACGACTCATAGAGATGATCAATCATAGACTAACTAAAGGAGCAAGGAAGTTTTTTTCTCTTATATACTTTTTGGAATACACTACTCGAAAATGTATAATGCAACTGCGCAAGCAACATTTCGTTCGAGAGTAGAAATAGATGAAAAAAAAAAGTTTTTCCTTTTGAAGGAATTTTCTTTTCCTATTTGAGATCCGTTCTGTTCACCCTGTATTTTCGAATCCAATCAGGTCTCGTAGAATATTTGGTTTTCTAGTTCGTTAGGGATGATGTATTTTTGACATTAAGTGATTTTGATTCTTGTTTAACTTCTTATGAGATCTGGTCTTATTCTCTCCAGGCAAGTTTAGAAAGAAAATAGGAATGTATATGGTTTTATTGTTTGTCAATGAAATAGAAGAATATTGAATCTATTACGATTTAAAAGAAACCTAAAGTAGATTGTAATTACAATTAAAAAGAATTTTTGTTTTTTTTTTTTTTTTTTTTAATAATTGGTTGCTATTCCATGTAGACTTTAATTTCACATTACTATTGAATTTGTCTGAATAACTAGAGTAGTATCCTATCCTGTGTTTTAGGGGCTGAATTCTGACCTAAATTTTATTGTTAATAGCTCAATCATTTCTTCACTCCAAAATTAGGTCTTCAAATATAATGCGCTCGAGTTCTTATCAATTTTTCGATTTGGAGAATGAATTGTGAACTTCTGAAAAAAGAAATTAATTATGCTAGCTATTTGTACCCGGAAAAAAAAATGGTAGCTATTTCCACCTGAAGAAAAAAGAAAAAATTGTTATACATTTTATTTCTTATGGAAGTGTTAGAGCTGATGTAAACCCAGTTTCTTTTGAACAAAATCACTATCGTTTGTTCAAAATGTATAAATAAATAAATTTGTTTTTTGTTTTGTTATAGGTCGGATTTTAAAGATTTGGACGTGCGGACGAAAGTTGTGTATTTCAGTCCGCCAAAGTTTTTGTGCTTAAATATTTCAGATATTTAACATGAAAGAACGCACACAAGAGCAACAAAGTGGCTGTAGTTTAGTGGTAAGAATTCCACGTTGTGGCCGTGGAGACCTGGGCTCGAATCCCAGCAGCCACACACTGTTTTTAATTTTTCTTCAGCTTTTTAAGAGGTAATTCAATTTGTCTTTGGGATAAGGATTATATTGAGGAATTTACGAAAAAATATTTTCAGTGAAACTGCTAGTTGGAGGAGCTCGAGGGCAGTTTGGGCACTTTGGTTGACGACGAGAGTTCCAATACTTGCTCAAATATATTTTACCAGGTTGTTGTATGATTAGATAACCAATTGCCATTAGAGATAATTCAATTTGCACTCATAATTTTTATTTATTATTTAATTATATTTCTCAGAATTCTATTGTACTTTTGGATGGCTGCTGGGTTTTGATTTTCCTTTAATTAGTTTTTATTTTTCAGTATATTAAAACTTAACACTGTTAAGTTTGGGGTTATTAAGTAGGGATCCCGAGCCTCTACATTTACATGTTATGCATTTATTCGCATTTCGCAACATCTAAACCATCTAGTTATAAAATATTTTAAATTATTATTTTATGAAGTATTTACAATTTACTTTAATATTTTAAATTATTTGGCTATTAAAAAAGTGAAAACAGTTCCATGTGCACATCTTGTGACATGTTTTAACGGAAAATTTAACAGACATAAACAGAAATGGGACATTAGCACTAAAATGAAAGTGGATGGTAAATTGCCAAAAAGGAATAAAAAGAGTATCGGGAATAAGATTTCATGTGTTTGGATAAAAGGTATTCAACAAATATTATCAAACTGCGTTCAGTTAATATCTATACATTTTTTAAGAAATTCTAGGATTGCATTTATAATTTAGCCAAAAAAATCACTAATTACAAAGGGTCATTACAATATTCGTACAAACTAGCCGGTTAATATCCATACCTAAAAATAAGATATTCGAATAATATGACAACTCATAAAAGGAAAAAGATAATATAATATGATCCTGGTAAAATAGAAGAAAAAAAGGTATCCCACTAAAAATAAAAAATAAATTTGAAGATTAGCCCTATCGTTCATCCATCTCCCAGTCTTTGGATTAGTACATTACCTTATTAAATCAGGTCACTTCACCTCATCTCATACTGAATCTATTCCATACTTTATTTTATCCTTTTGGTATTTCTTTATTTGCTTTTAAAAAGTCTTTTATTCTTTCCCAAATATAATTTATTTTAAACTGTTTACAAACAACATTAATGGTTTTTTATTTTTATAAAAACAAAAGTATAATTTAAAAAAAAAATACAAATAATAGTCTAAACTTGAAAGGAAGGGTTTCTCACACACAAACACATTACTAATGTGTCATGAAGGTTTGAACTTAAAACCACTAATCTGAAAGCATGACATTTTACCGATTCTTTTCTTTCTCTTATCTATCTTTTCATTTTCTCTTATTTATCTTTTCGTTGTGGACCTATTTATTGGAGTCCATAATGAAACCCATTCCTAATTATGCAACCTTATCTAAAGAGTGCTGCTATTTCTATCAACCTGTTCTATTTTTCCACCAACATTATCTTCAAAATTTTAAAGACAAATTTATCCCTTCATAAAATGACTTTTAAGGACTTATGGAAAATGATTAAAAAACAAAACAATTGCCTCAAACTTAAAATTAAAAAAAGTTAAAAAAATCCAAAGCACAAAGATCAAACATCAAATCCAAAGCACCCCTCAACCTCTCCCTCCTATTTTATCTCCATCCTAAAACCCTAACCCCAAAAGTTTTGAGCCAAAACAACGGATTCTTCATCAGAAACTAGAGTCGTCATGTACCCCTCCCATTTGTAGGAGGAGGCCAGCAAATCCTAATGATCAACATGGCAAAAGTCTTCTCCTCCCACGAAGCAAATCCCAATGTAATCAGATGCTCATGTTGAAAATATGTTCTATTAGTTTTGTTATGGTCGTCAAATCTCTCCAATTAGAGCAAACAATTGCTCTTTTCATCCATTATATTAAATTTAAATGACTCACAAGTTAACAAAAAAGAGAATACAATTGTTTTATAACACAATCTCTATAATCAAATATGTGAACTCTCTTCTTTCCAAATAAGTTATCACCCCTATCCTATTTATATAATAAATTGTTACAAAAGTAAAAAAGAATCATATAAACTCATATAATAATAAAACTCATATCAACGTGTAAATATAGTAACGATGAGATATCAATAAATAAATAAAAAATTAATATGGAGCAATATATATATGATAAAAAATATTAAAGAAATAGAATATAGAGGAAGATAGCGAATTTTATGCATAAAATATTGTGTAATAAAACTATCCTAAGTCTCTTTGAATTTGAACCAATCCCCTCCAATTCGGGATTCAATTTTCTATAAGAAGTAGAATCAAATTACCAATTTAATTACATCTTATCCGAAATTAATCTCAATTAATCCTTTTCCAAATGAGACTGTAACTCTCCCCTCCCCACTCCTATATAATGTACACGCCCAACCACATGCACTTCTCATCGTCCTTCAGCTTGATCATACACTTTTAGTCATTTTTCTCTCGTTTTGGGTTTTGGGTTTTGTGATTTGGGTTTCTGGGTTCAGAGAAAAATCGTTTAGAATCAATGGAGATTGATCTGTCACCAAAGTTGGCCAAGAAGGTGTACGGTGGAGATGGTGGTTCCTACTTTGCTTGGTCCCCATCTGAGCTTCCCATGCTCCGTGAAGGTAACATTGGCGCTGCCAAGCTTGCTCTTGAGAAGAATGGGTTTGCTCTCCCCAAGTACTCTGATTCTGCCCAGGTCGCTTATGTCCTCCAAGGTATCGACTTTTTTTCTGTTTTGTTTTGTTATTGCAATTTTTATAGTGCAGAATTCTTGTTGATTGGTTCAGTTTTTCAATTCTGATTTCATTGAATGGATTTGGATTTAAAAAATTTACCTTTGGTGCATTATAACATATATGGATTTTCATGATCGGATTGGTCTTATCTGTTTTCTTGTTTATTTTGCTTAATTTTTGTAGATCATGAAATTAATGGAGGAGATCATGTGGGTTAAAGTGATTTGGTTGTTTGCTTTGGGAATTATGAAATTCATAGATGAAGATGTTATGATTGCATCTTTTCTTTTAAACTATTCACGCCTTTTTGTACATTAATATATAGGTGTTTTGAATGATATTGCTTTTATATATGGTCTCTCAGCTCTGTTACTATCTCTGTTTTCTTTATAAATAAACAAAAAAAAACTTTTTTTTTCTTCTTCATATGTTTAAATTCAACTGGAAACTTCAATAAGGTGAAATTCCAAATTAGCAAATTAATAGGCTAATTGTTATGTTTTGAATTCTGTTTTTGTTTGATTTTAGTTTAACTTTGCTTTTCTTGGGTTCCTTTAGGTACTGGTGTAGTTGGGATTGTCCTCCCTGAGAAGGAGGAGAAGGTTCTTCCAGTTAAGAAGGGTGATGCTATTGCCCTCCCATTTGGAGTTGTTACTTGGTGGTACAACAAGGAGGACACTGAGTTTGTAGTCCTTTTCTTGGGTGATACTTCAAAAGCTCACAAGAGGGGTGAGTTTACTGACTTTTATTTGAATGGCTCCAATGGCATTTTCACTGGCTTCTCAACTGAGTTTGTCGGTCGAGCATGGGATCTGGAGGAGGATGTTGTGAAGACCCTTGTTAGCAAGCAATCTGGCAAGGGCATAGTTAAGGTTAGTGGAGTTAACTTGCCTGAACCAAAGAAGGAACACCGAGATGGCATGACATTGAACTGTGAAGAGGCTCCTCTGGATGTTGACATTAAGAATGGTGGTAGAGTTGTTGTGCTGAACACTAAAAACCTTCCTTTGGTTGGTGAGGTTGGGCTTGGTGCTGACCTTGTTAGGTTGGATGGAAGTGCTATGTGCTCCCCTGGATTTTCTTGTGACTCTGCCCTGCAGGTGACTTATATTGTTAGGGGCAGTGGCCGCGTCCAAGTTGTTGGAGTCGACGGTAAAAGGGTCTTGGAAACAACCATCAAAGCTGGTAATTTGTTCATCGTTCCGAGGTTCTTTGTTGTTTCAAAGATCGCTGATCCAGAAGGCTTGGAATGGTTTTCTATCATCACTACTCCCAAGTAAGTGTTTTGTTCTTTACATTATCAGATATTCTTAGTGTTTCTTATATGTCTGCAATGTGCTTTTCTCTTTCCTGATTTTGATATCATTGTTCTTGCTTTACGTCTGCTTGTTAAACTTTTTATTAGCTCTTCTCTAAAACCTTCTTAGTGTTGATCCACACCTTGCTTGATGTTTAATTTTTCCATTCTTGTGAGGTTTCCTTACTCTGCAATTGTTTCTGTATCAAAAACTGATCTTTGGGGGCAAATGTGGTCCTTGTGTTTTTTTCACCAAAGTTTTCTAAACTTGGTGTTCAACAATTTGCTGATTCATTGTTTTCTGTGCTGCAGTCCCATATTCACCCACTTGGCTGGAAGCATTGGTGTTTGGAAGGCTTTGTCTCCTCAGGTGCTTGAGGCTGCCTTCAATGTGGATTCGGCTACAGAGAAACTTTTCCGATCAAAGAGGACTTCTGATGCAATCTTCTTCCCCCCACCCAATTAAGCTTAGTAGAAACTTTTCCATTCGAAGAGTAGTTCTGATGCAATTTTCTTTTTTATGTTTGCTAGTTTCTTGACCCGAATAATTTAATTAGTATGGATTTGCTTTGGGGTTGTAATTAAATTTTAGACTTCTATTATATATGAAGAGTTTTGGGGTTTCCTCAATATTATTGATCTCACCAGGAAAGTCCACTCCAAGTCCAACATCCTTTTTTCTTGAATGTTGCCCCAAAGTACACAATATCAATATCGAATGATTGAATAACATGAGAGACGAAAGAAGATAATTACAGGGTTTAGTGAATTTAGTTGGATGTAAAGAGGTTGGTGGATGCTACAAGATTACTTTTTTTTTTCTTTTTTTAAGTCTCTTTTGGCAGAAGGATGAATTTATCATCAATAAAAGCACTCAAAATAAAAGTAAAAAAATTAGAGATTAGCCATATCATACCAGCATCCGCTACTTGGACATCATTTGAACTTGTTAAATCTGGTCATCCTTTTCTTTTTTTGGGGAAATATAGAATTTGAATTTATCCCATATGCACTTAACTATGGTACTACTACTAAACTCTTGAACTAATCTGCTTTCATCCCGGAATTCAAGAGCAAGTAAGTAGAATCAGATTATCCATTATTAGTCACATCCTAATTTTAATCCAAATTGTTGTTAATCCTTTTACTAACTCTTCTATTCTCTCTGTAACACATGGCTATCCTGATAGCCATTCTCACTCCTATATATGCACACCCAAATACACCTTCTTTTCATTCACTCACGCACAGCTTGACCATATAATTCACTATTTTCTCGTTTTGGGTTTTGGGTTTTCTGGGTTGAGACTTAAAAATCGTCAAGAATGGAGATTGATCTTTCACCCAAGTTGCCCAAGAAGGTGCACGGTGGAGATGGTGGGTCCTACTTTTCTTGGTGCCCGTCTGAACTTCCCATGCTCCGTGAAGGTGACATTGGCGCTGCCAAGCTGGCCCTTGAGAAGAACGGGTTTGCTCTCCCTCAATACTGCGATTCTGCCAAGGTCGCTTACGTTCTTCAAGGTATAATTTTGTTTTCGTTTCATGATCGGCTTCATCGTATTTATTTTTCTTGTTTGGTTGCTCATTTATTTTTGTGGGTCATGGAATTCGTAGATGAAAAGTGATTTTAACTTTTAACATCAAAGAAGATCTTGAAATTGTTTCATGAATAGTGATTACCTTTAAAATTAAATGAGATCACGTTTGTTTAATGTGGTATAATTGCATATTTTATTTTCTGGGATTTGTCATTATTATATAGAATTTTGATGCCATTCGACTTTTTTTATTTTATTTTAATGCCCTTGTTGAAATCAATTTAGCACCTACTCTGTTATTATGAGACCTTAGGAGCTTGTGGTAATTGTTATGTTTGAACTTTGTTTTCTTGTTTTACTATAGGTAATGGTGTAGTTGGAATTGTGCTTCCTGAGAAGGAAGAGAAGATTCTTCCAGTGAAGAAGGGTGATGCCATTGCCCTCCCTTTTGGAGTTGTTACTTGGTGGTACAACAAGGAGGACACTGAGTTCGTAGTTCTTTTCTTGGGTGACACTTCAAAAGCACACAAAAGGGGTGAGTTCACTTCCTTCTATCTTAATGGCTCCAATGGCATTTTCACTGGCTTCTCAACCGAGTTTGTGGGTCGAGCATGGGATTTGGAGGAGAGCATTGTGAAGACTCTCGTTGGAAAGCAATCCGGTAAGGGCATAGTCAAGCTTAGTGGAGTTAACTTACCTGAGCCAAAGAAGGAACACCGAGATGGTATGACATTGAACTGTGAAGAGGCTCCTCTGGATGTTGACATTAAGAATGGGGGAAGAGTTGTTGTTTTGAACACTAAAAACCTTCCTTTGGTTGGTGAGGTTGGACTTGGTGCTGACCTTGTTAGATTGGATGGAAGCGCTATGTGCTCCCCTGGATTTTCTTGTGACTCCGCCCTGCAGGTGACTTATATTGTTAGGGGCAGTGGCCGTGTCCAAGTTGTTGGAGTTGACGGTAAGAGGGTCTTGGAAACAACTATCAAAGCTGGTAATTTGTTCATCGTTCCTAGGTACTTTGTTGTTTCGAAGATTGCTGATCCAGATGGCTTGGAATGGTTTTCTATCATCACTACTCCCAAGTAAGTATTTGTTTCTTTTCATTATCAGATGTTCTCAGTGTGTCTTGTATGTCTGCAATCTGCTTTTCTTCTATGTTTTATTGAAGCATACTCTTGCTGCTTGGAACACACACATGTAAATTTATTCCCACCACACACAGAAGGCATAATTCAGAAATATTTGGCACTTTCTTAAAAACTTTTTATTGTAGATCTATGCTAAGCATAAAAAGTTACAACTTGGTGTTTAACATGTTGCTAACGCATATTTTGCTGCAGTCCCATATTCACCCACTTGGCTGGAAGCATTGGTTGTTGGAAGGCTTTATCTCCTCAGGTGCTCCAGGCTGCCTTCAATGTGGATGCAGATACAGAAAAACTATTCCGGTCGAAGAGGACTGCTGATGCTATCTTCTTCCCTCCACCAAAGTGAACAAGTTTAGCTTATATCTACTTTCATGGTCCAAATAAAGGGATTTTGCAGTTAGGGATTTCTTTGGCTTTGTTTTAAAACCCTCTTCTAGGGAGATGTCATGTTAGCTATTATGGTCTAATTTTGGAACTTTCATAAATGTTAATAGTAGTGGCTTTTGGACCTGCCATATTGCTTATAAAATCAATACCAATTTCGTACTCTGTTTAATTGAAGATGATTTAGCTGCATACGTGCTTTGCATGTTGGAATTCTTGAACTTGCTTGAGATGGCTTTTGGGTGTCGAAGAGCTAAATTTGTGGCTTTAGCCCTCTATTGGAGATCACTTGAGTTTTCCCGAAGGCCCCAACCTCCCATCCAGATCAATCCCTTCAGCCTTTTGTGTGCAGGGAGGCTAGAATAAGGGGGTTTTTGTGAGCGTTTATAATGAGGGGGGTCCTTAATAGCCATTCGATCTAGTGCAGAGTTATTATTGGAATGTTGGATTGAACTCTCTCACTGTAACCCCTTAACATAGACCCTCATTATAGAAGCTCCCTTCATGTTGACATACCCCAACCTCGCCCATAAGTTATGGGCCATAACAACCTCCTCACCTTCCTATGGCGATGGAACTTTTTAGAGTGATGGAAGGAAAGAAGTTGGATATTGATATTGTGATTTACAATATTCTTATTGAAGGTTTGTGCATAGCTGGAAAAATTGAATCTGCAAAAAACCTTTTTTATGATTTATCATCAAAAGGACTTCAACTTGATGTCAGGATATATACTACAATGATTAGTGGACTTTGTAATGGAGGCCTAATTAGTGAAGCGGAAAAGTTGGTTGAAGAAATGGAAGAGAATGGATGTTCTCCAGATGATTGCACCTATAATACAATTATCCGAGGGTTTATCAATAGTAATGAGACATCAAGGGCAATGGTTTTTATTCAACAAATGGTAGAGAGGGGTTTCTCTACAGATGCATCAACTACGGAATTGATCGTTGATTTATTGTCTACAGATGATGTAGATCCGGCTTTGTTGCCATTGATAAAAGAAACATTGTGAAGTTAATTTTGAACTAGCTGCTGCATTGCCAGAGCACCTTTCTTTGGCAGCTCCTGGAGTTGTTGTTGGAGGGTGCCTTCTGTCTTCCCTATGCATCACATGTTCTCTGTTTCTTTATGTGTGCTCCTGCCTTACATCTGTTTTTCTCCATTAAAACTTGAAACTTAAAATTCAATTCCAAAGTGTCTCCCTCGTAATCTAACCTTATGATCGTGCCAATTAGATTGTCCATTATGTTGTTTGTTTTCTTGTATTGTTTGGGGGGAGAGATAGAAGGCCTTCATGCACTTTGTTCAGGAGCATGAAGTCCTGATGTTCGGTGACAATAACTATTGCTATAAATTGATGTATGTTCACAATAGATACTTGTACACAATTTCTAATCCTGCTCAAGTCTCGAGGCGATAAATTAGAAAACTGCTGTGCTATTATACTGCCGCCTCCACATTCCCGTATACAACACAATAGGGAATTGAACAATTACAGAGTGAAAAAGATTTTTAGCTTAAAAAAGAGGTGATATCAGTTGGATAATAGGGCTATTTATTTTGCTCATATATATTTCAATTGAAGGGTAAGTACCTCTAGTTTTTTTTCTGTACCAGCATGCTCTCTTTCTTGGCTTGATAATCAGTTTGGTCTCACTTGATTGCTTACACTATCAACAGCTTCAGACTTTCCCACTCAAGATTCAATATTCATCATCACCATTGCCTCAACACAACACCCCTCTCAGTCCAAAGGGGACTTAACAATTTACATTTTACGCATTTCATAGCCATGTTTAATGAATTTTTGTTACTTGTTGCAATACTGGCTTCAGTCTTGACATGTTTTGTGTTGGAATCAGTGAGAACGTATTATTTTATGTTCAATTAACTAAGAAGTTTTAAATATGCCAACGGGGTCTAGTTTAGTTGAAAATGGCCTTAACTTGCAAACAAGAGGTCTCATGTTCAAATCTCAACAATTGGACTATCGCTTGTACTAAGAAAAAGACTTTTAAGTCCCTCTCACACGAGAAACACTTACATGAAATGAGGATAACACTATTTTGCTATCCCCGGCCAATCACGGTATGCCATGCTTAATAAATTTTCCATATGGAGACTGTAATTGGCAGAGGATAGCAAAGCAATGATATCCCCGTTACATACAAGTTTTTTTTGCTCCCACACGCGCAAGAGCAAACGCTTTTTTCTGTCCAATCAACGAAAAAGTTTTAATAAAATTTGAAAATTTAAAATACACCATCATTCCCAATTTTCCACTCCCATTTCTGCTCCAATTTCACTTAAAATATATAATTTTTTTTTTTATATATTTAAAAAACGTTTCTTTTTGAGTTTCCATGAAAGCAATAAAACTAATCCAAAGTAAAAGTGGGAAACTCGGCAAAGTAGCTCCATGTTTGATAAATAATATTTTTAAAGTGTTGTTAGTACAAAAAATAGTACCAAAACCATTTGATAAATTTTAAGTTATAACTGTGAATAAGAACTAAAATAGACATGATGTTGAAAATGTTATGTGCTAATCATGTGGTGGTAGTGGTGGTGGTGATGGAGGTGGTGGTGAAAGAAATGGAGGTGAAGGTGGTGGTGGTGATGTTGGTGGTGGTTGTGGTAGTGGTGGTGGTGGGGATGGTGGTGGTGGGGATGGTGGTTGTGGAGGTGGAGGAGGAGGTCGTGCTGGTGGAGGTTGAAGAGGAGGGTGGTAGCAGCAGTGGTGAACTAAAATAGACATGATGTTGAAAATGTTATGTGCTAATCATGTAGTGGTAGTGGTGATGGTGATGGAGGTGGTGGTGAAAGAAATGGAGGTGAAGGTGATGGTGGTGATGTTGGTGGTGGTTGTGGTAGTGGTGGTGGTGGGGATGGTGGTTGTGGTGGTGGCGGTGGCGGAGGAGGATGTGGTGGTGGTGGAGGCGATGGCGGCGGTGGTGGTGGTGGTGGAAGTGGATGTGGAGTAGAGGTGGTGGAGTTAGATGTGGAGGTATAGGTGGCATCATTTTTAAAAATTAATGATGTTATTTTGGAAATTAAAAAATTCATCCATGCTTCTTTTGAAGTCTACTTAGAATATGCTTTTAAAACTGCTGTGAAAAGGTCATTGTTTTTAACCAAAAACTTTATAGTGAAGCAGATTTGGGGGGGGAAAAAAAAAAAAAAAAAAAAAAAACCCCAAACCACCTTAATCTTCTGAACAAACGCTTTTTTCAACAGCATGCATTGCGATTTGAGTCGAGACAAATGTGTTGTGTGGATACTGAAAGGAGAGCGTGAAAGAAATGGCACCGTTGAAAGCTTTAGAGGCAGAGTACCCAATACTCGACCCCAATTTCCAGGCCTTTTGCGTCTCTCACGGTATTTTCTCAGGTGAGTTCCATTCCGTCACTTGTAAAATTTGGTTTTAAACCCAATACAGTACATAAATTTCTATTTAGGGTCTCTTGGATTTTGATACCCAATAGAGAATATGAATTCAATTTTGTGTCTTACTTTCTATTTGGTGCAGTGGAAGATTTCCTCATTCATGACCTCTATGAATTAGCTGCATTTGCAGAACAACAGCCTACATCTGAGAAACTAAAGCAGGTTTTTTTATTTTATCCATAGGACTTTAATTTTTCACAGATACATGTTATGTTTTAACAAAGATACATTCACTTTAAACAATTATATCATGTTATGTTTGGGCTAGCAGGGCATTACTCAGATCCTCTCTATTATTGATACTCAGCATCAACCATGGTTGAATGGTATGGAGCTTTTAGATGATGCTCTACATAACAAGCATGTACTGTCAACTGGGTGTGAAGGGTATGCTTAGCCCAAACACTGACCTATTCCTTTCACTGCTTTTAGATTTTTAGTAATACTAAATGTAATGTTTTTCGGGTTGCCATGAACCAGAATTGATTTGTTACTTGGAGGAGGATTACGTGAGGGACAATTAACTGAACTTGTTGGGCCATCTTCTTGTGGTAAAACACAAGTAAGTAATTCACTTTGTTCAGCAATTACATAAGGTTATGATAGCAATGATTTCAAATTTTCAGTTTACATGTCACAATCTTTTATTTGGGTTTGGATGTCATTGCTGAAGTACACTATGCTGCGCCTACTTTGTGATCACCTAAATAAAGATTTAAGCATATCACTAATTTTCTATTTATATTTGTGACAATACCGTGAGTAATTGTATGATATTTGCACAGATACTGGTAACAACAGTTCAAAAGTATATTTAAATTCTTGGTAGTGTTCAGGTTTGCCTACTTGCTGCCTCAAATGTTGCAACGAAGCACATGGGTAATGTTGTATATCTGGACACAGGCAATTCTTTCTCACCCCAACGAATTGCCCAGTTTGTTGGTCATATCGCTGGCCGTGCCTTTGATGAGGTCATACCATCAGTTTAAGAGTAGAATTTTCTTTATTTTGTTTGTTTCAGTTAGCCCTTTTACTCAAGTGAACTACTGCACTCTCTGATACTATCTACATTGATTTTAACTGTAGGCTGGAAAAAGAATTTTTCAGAGGATAATGAACGGCATTGTATGCCATTCTGTGTTTGACATCTTTACAATGTTCAATGTGTTACATCGGCTAGTGATCAATTTTCCATCTCAGGTTCACATTGACAAGATGAATTTCCTTCCCATTTCTGGGTAGAGTTTCAAATTTTCCTTTTATTGAACATATGATCTGGTTCCAGCTGCAGAAAGGAGGGCAGGTCCGGTTGCTTATTGTTGATTCGATCTCTTCACTAATTACCCCGATTCTTGGGAACAGTGGTTCACAGGGTATAGATCATTGTATGCAAATCACAGTTTTCTTCAGTTTCTTGTTTGTTTCAATAATGTCTTTCCTTCTCTCTTCTCTTTTCAAGTATTTCTCTCTTTTTTTCTTTTTTTAAAAGAAATTGTTTTTCATCCAAAGAAGGTTCATTTCAGTAGAAATGTTTTCTAATTTTCATATTTGTCCATTCATACGACTCAGAAATGTCATATGCAACTCATGAAGATGAGAGCTCATTGACTCATGCTTGTGGAATAACTGCAGGACGCGCCTTGATGATATCTGCTGGGTATATGTTAAAGAAATTAGCACATGAGCATAATGTTGCTGTACTGGTAAGTTTTCTATTGGGTACATGTTATGCACAATTCTCAGCTTAACATAATCCACAGGTGAACCGCTGTCCTCTTAAAATTAACATAGAAAAGCTGTGGTTCTATAAGGTTCATTTTGACATGTAGAAAATATAACGTTTATAAATTTTTAAAGCTCGGATCAGTTTCCATTTCTGCTTCAAGCTCATTTGCGTCTCCATCATCATTTTGTTTATCACGACAGTAAATTTAGTTTGAAAGGGTTCATTGAATAGGTCTTTAGTTTATGCTTTCACCTTTGCAATAATTCTATAAATGAAATAAATGTGAAGGTGACCAATCACACAGTGGGTGGGGAAAGAGGTATTCCAAAACCCGCTCTTGGACAGACCTGGAAGAGTATCCCACATGTGAGGCTTCTACTTTCCGGTGATCATGGAAACAATGTCCGGAGTATTTCAGTGCTAAGACACCCATCTATGGTAAACTTATCCACATTTATCGTGATTGCGGTGCATACACTGTTTAAACTGGATTTGCGCACAGCTTTACTACTATTACTTGTTTTCCTCCCTCCTTGCAAATAATTCGTTGTTTTTCGGTTACGGTTCAGATTAGCTTAAGAATGCTCCTGTCAAGGGGTAAACAGCTGCTCTGGCACCGAAGTCTCATAGTTAGCAATACTAATGCATCTTTATAACTTCTCGTATTGTTATAATCCTTTTCCTTTTCTAGGCTTCTGGCAAGGCTGCGAAGTTTTCGATTTAGAAGGAACAGCATGGTTGCTTCAATTTGTACTTGCCACTCTACACGAAAAGGTAGGAAGGGTGAACGATGTAGAAAATTGAAACTATTCCGTAATGCAACCGAAAATAGAAACAGAGAATTATAGCAATTATGGTTGATTCAAGTTGTACTTGTGTCCTACTCCTACACGAAGGTTAGGAAGAGTAAGTCATTTACAAAACTGAAGCTGCTTTGTAACACAATACTGTTAACATCTTCATAGGAGTGCTCTCTTATATCTATTAATTTTCTTTGCCTGGGATTCTCTTTTATTCATTTATTTTTGCCTCGGAGTGCTCTCTTTTAGAGATTCTGAGAATTGGGGCTACATGTCTAGAATGCATAATTTTTATTTTTTATTTTAATAAATTTAAATTTTTACGAACTACAGGAAAACCGATTTTTTAGTGTATAGTTTGACATTCCGTAGCCGTTGTCGTTGCCGCCACCATCATCGTCACACTACTGACTACTTGGCTCTCACTACTGCGGCCTTCATTGACATTGTTGTTGCTACTACCACCCCATCACCCCTAGAACCACCACTCTACTTCATCACTGCCGCAACCGTAACTATCATGCAACCACCACTACTCATACCACTGCCGCCACCAACCAAGCCACTTTCACCTCCGGCATTGCATCCAAGCCATCATAAAAGACATTCATGCCACACCCTCTGGTGTGTTTGGTCACAGGAAGATGTGTACAACAATGTAAGATTGGAAAATATGTGATCCCAGAAAACACAATGCTCTTTGTGAATGATTGGGCCATTGGAAGGGACCCAAAGTATTGGGAAAGCCCATTGGACTTTAGCCCTGAAAGATTCTTAACACAGCTCGATGGAGGAGGCAATCGAACGGCTAGAATTGATGTTAGGGAGGCAACATTTTCAATTTTTGCCATTTGGGTCTGGGAGGAGGATATGCCCTGGTGTGAACATAAGCCATGCAAATGCTGCCTAGGCTACTTGGGGCTATGATCCAGTGCTTTGACTGGAAGGTTATTGACCCAGATCAAAAGAAGATGAACGGTGGTGATGTTGTTGAAGTGGATGAACGGCCTGGAATGACAACTCCACGGGCTCATGATTTGGTTTGTGTTGTAGTGGCCCTCTTGCATTTCATTATTGATTATACAGAAAATTACAACTAAATTAGGGTTAAGTACAAAGGACCATTGGCTTAACTACGCTTAACAAACTTAACCACTCAGCCGCTGATAATTTGACTTGATGAAAATGACATGCTCTCCTCACTGGTGACATGGTCAGGGGAAAATTAACAAATCACGTATCAGCTTTCCCATAATAATATAGCTGATCTATATATAGTAAGGTGTTTAACGGACGTGTGGGACGAACGACGAAGAGTCCAAATCATCTCATGAATAATATTAATAGCGGAGCTTTCCTCTTACGAGGAGAGAGAAAGTCAGAGATAGTCAGGTGTTGATCCGCTTTATAATTAAATTGAGGACCAATCAGGCTTGTTTTTGTAAGCGTAGAGATGGTTAGAAGGACGACCAAACCCTTATATGCAGGAATATTGGCCTAATCCCGCAAATCTACGCTACAGTGATGTCAATCACAATTAAGTCTCAAACTCATCATGAATATATCATCGCATATATTATGACCAAAAGTTAATTAGTAAGGATTAATTGTACTTTGCACTCTTCTAATTTGAATACTATCTTTTAAAAATTAAACAAAAATGCATAAACATTAAGCTCTCCATCCATGTTATAATTAAATTAAGGGAGATTCATTATTATACTCAATATAAGGGCTCAAATTATAAAAATACCTCATATGAAATGGACTTTAGAAACACACTCAAAACCCATTTAAAACATAACAAATAGACTTTTAACTTCTTATAAATTACAAAACTGCCGTCAATTTCTTAAAACAAGTCAAACCCCAAAATCTCATAAAAATACCCAAAACACTCAATAATGCATCAAAGTAATTTAATAATCAATATTAAATTCAATAAAGCCAGCTGTTATTTTTTGAGTTTTTTTTGGGTTTGTTTATAAAAATTTAATGGTGTATGATTTATCTATAATATTGGTGTTAAGAATGAGTATATCACTAAATATCTCTTAAAGAGTAATTACTAGTTATCACCAAGTCGTTCCATGTTTAATTACACCCACCTGCTACATGCATATACATCTAGAAATACCCAAACACCCACACGAACCATACCATACATTTTTTAGTGTGAGATTAAATCACGTACAATATATCATATATTTTAATGCTCTATGTATAAACTACACTTTATCAATTAGGCTTACGAAACCTTTACAATTATAAAGCCTAGTCATACTTTAATCAAACTACACTCTATATATAAACTACACTTTATCATATATTCTACACGTTACGAGGGATAAAATCAATTTATTTTCTTTCTACGATAACAAGTGATACAAGAAAGTTAAAAAAAAACTGTATATTAGATTGTATCAAATCTAATTTAAATCTGATGGGTTTGACATGTTTACACGGAGATTTCTATTTCTATTTCTATGATGTATTGATGTGAATCGGTCTTCCAATACATTTCACATCAACTAAACAAAAAAAGTATATCTGAAAGAGCTCTTAATGAAATTATTAGCAGCAAGGCAAGTCCAATTAAATAATAATTGATTTGAACTCCTTGTCTTTTAAGGCAACATATCGTGTTGCAATTTGTAAAGAGAAAATATCCACCAAGATTAATATCTTTGACTTTCAGAATAGGCTTACATATAGTGATATTGATTGATTGCTTTGCTAATGAGAGTCTACTGTGCCTTGAGGACAATAAAATGAGAGTACAAAGGGAGGTATGTCAAAATAGCACACGTTAAATGGTGGTGAGCAAAAATCTCCAAGTTCGAGTGGCTAGTTTTTTATATGAACTTTTGTATAATATGTCATTATGTTAAAATAAACTTATTTATAAAAAAAAAATCTTATTTGTTAGATTCGGTTGAACCTAACTTGGAGCAATTTTCTTGGTGTGAAACATTTTCTACATTTGTCGCATCTTAATTTGAGCAAACTAGTACAAAGATACAACGAGAAAATGTTAGTCATCAAGTACACATGTAAATTTATTTAATAAAGATGCCTAATTCACGGTTCATGAATTTTCAAATAGGCTTATTTAAGGGACACCCTTGTAGGGCGTACTTCGCGTTGTATTTCACTAATTTAAATTGTCTATTTTGTAGACATTCATTCAAAGGTCATTCCTATAAATAAAAAAAATCACTTGAATTCGATATTATTTGACCACTCAATTAAATTATTGAAATTTTAGTACTTTTTTGAAACATCGTGTTCATTGATTTTGTAGGACACAATTAGATGTCTAAATGGTTTTCGATTTGTCTAATTTTGTGGAAGGATGATCTATGAATGAAGACCTAAAAAATAGATTGTTTGGATTGTTGAAAAAAAATTTTGTAGGGTACCCTAAAGAGTGTTCCTCAAATAATTTTATTTAAGGGATTCTCAATGGAAGCGGGTTGATATATATATATATACACACACACACACACACATATTAAAGTTTAAGTTGAGGAATCCCTCAAATAGCTTATTTGAGAGATACTCTTGTGGGGCCCATCCACATTGTATTTTCATAATCCATAACTGTCTATTTGTTAGGTATTCCTTCAAAGATTATCTCTGCAAAAAAATAAATAAATAAATAAAAAAATTGAAATTGAAATTATTTATCCACTCAATTGATGGTTGTAGTTTTAGTGTTTTCTTAAACCACCGAGATTGTGAATTTTGTTGATCACAATTGGATGTCTTAATAGTTTCCAATTTTGCTAATTTATTGCAAGGTTGATATTTGAATGAATACTTAGGGCCAGTTTGGCATTGCTGTGCTGTGAAAATAATCGCTATCAGATTTGCTGTGAGAGAAAGCAGTTTAGCGTTTGGTAAAATTTTTGTTAAAAGTGTTGTTGGTATTGATTTTACGCATAATCAGAAAATGATTGCCGCATAATCTTTAAACCCAACACCTCTTCGAAACTGATTCCCACATAATCAGAAAATGAAAGCACCTCATTAGCTGTTTTCCCTTATAGCTTTCTCTCACAACAATTTTTAACAATAAGTGATTTTTTCGCAGTTTACCAAACGGGTTGGGCTTCTCAAAATTTTTAAAAAATCACTTATCACCCCAAATAAGCAATGCCAAACTGACACTTAAAAAATGGAAGATTTAGATTATTGAAATAAATTTTGTATTGAATATTTGAGGGATCTCTCAATAGATTTCCATTTGTACATGCAGGGGCGGATCTAGCCCTTTTTTGGCTAGGCAGCTGCCCAGCCGAGAATTTTCATAAAAACCAAATAGGTACATATGTACTTACTATATATATATATATATATATATATAAAAGATAATTTGCTAATAATATCAATAATGCTGCGATGATAATTGAAGAATTTAAGACTCTTAAGCTTCTCGTAGGGTAAAATTTTATATTTAAATAATGTTGTTTTGTATTGCATTGCATTTACTTGTGGTTTTTGTTTTTGTTAAGCTTTTATTTATGTATAGAGATGCATTTGAGGATAACACTTATATGTCTCTACGTATAAATTTTTTTAAAGTGTTTATTAATGAAATTCACTTGTATCGTTGAGTTTAGTTAGTAAGTTCCGCCCAGCCGACTTTCAAATCTTGGATCCGCCACTGTGTACATGCATATACATCTAGAAATACCCGAAACATAGGAGTTTTAAATAACACCCACACGAACCATACCATATCACCCAGTACTATGCTAGTCATTCTTTAGTGTGAGATTAAATCACGTGCAATTCATTATGGGGGCGGATCCGTGGCACCACAAATTTGACACAAGTTTTGACACAATTTTATAGCCTTTAGATGCAAGCACTTTCAAGGGCTAAGATTAAATGTGATTTTATTATTTATTTATTTTATTTTGATAACATAACAAATAAAATAAAATATTAAACTCACCACTTTTCAAGGTAGCATAAATGTAGGCTAAAATCTCTCCATCTCCTCCAATCTCATTTATTCTCACGTTTTGAGTTTGAACTTTTTTTTATTTAATTGTTTTTCCTTTATCTGGAAACAAAGTTCTCATCTCAGTTGATCTCCAAACACACAAGGATCTATTTCAGATTTTTCCACTCCAACACTTCATCTAATTTTCGCTAAATATTATGGAGATTGTTTGAAAATCTTAATTGTTAATTGTGCTAAGAAGCTATGGATACTTTTTGCTGCAGTTAGATGCTAAACTGTTTGAGAATGAACTTGAACTTCTCATGGTAAAAGACATTAAGAAATCCACAAATGTAAGAGGAAAAAGAAATTCGAATTGAAAGTAATCCAAGGATTTAGAGACTCAAAGCTCAAGAAAATAACAAAAGAACCAACATACAAGACTGCAAGATAAACCTCTCCAAATTTTGCTGCAAGATAGAAAGAGACAGTAGTTGAACCAAACCCCAAACCAATAAAAAAAAAGATCAGAAAAAAAAATTTCATACTCAGAGAATTAGATCATACCATTTATTTATTTATTATATTGATTGAAATCTTAGGGGGAAAAAATTAATGGCTAACATGTGAAATATGGGTGGGAGAAGAGCTACTTCTTGTTTAGTGCTAGTAGTGATAGAGAAACTGTCAAGGGCAGAAGGAAGATTTGGAAGAAGAAGAAAAAACAGAAGTGAAGGCATGAAGAAGAAGATGACGTGAGAGAAAATGTTAATGCTTTTAGGAAGTTGGGAAAACATAAATGAAGAGAGATAAAATATTATAGTAAGTTAATTAAAATTAATTTAAACAAATAATTATTTAAAGAAAAAGAATTAATTTGTTTAATCTTAACCATTCATTGTAGCCTAATTTAATGATTAAAAAATTGTGTCAAAACTTGTGTCAAATTTGCGGTGCCACAGATCCGCCCCCATTCATCATATATTTTAATGATCTATATATAAACTATACTTTATCAATTAGGCTGACGAAACCTTTACAATTATAAAGCCTAGTCATACTTTAATCAAAGGCTTCAATAAATCATATCTTACTTTAAAAACCCATCACTTGTATAATACACAAATAACGCCAAGTTTGGACTTT